TCTTAAGACCTTCTTTTGTTGTTTTTCTTCCAGATGTTGCTAAAAACCTTACTGGATCCTTTGCTTTTTTCTTCTTCCCAGAGACCCTTGCTTGCACTCAGCGCAGAATTAACACTGATCCAAACTCCAGTTTTGTCAAGGGACTGGAGTGAAGATCAGCCCAGTGTTTCTGATCTACAATTATTTATGTGCAGCTCTGAAATCCAACAAGCTCTCAAAACCAGAAGTTATTTTTGTTGGTTCAGTTGGCGGAGAATCTGACCTGAAGCAATGTAAAACTATTTGTAGCCTTTATTTATCTCCCTTTGTAGGAACACTTATATATTGGCAGTGAATTGTTGCCCTGTGCCCAAGTAGAAGTGACACGCTGTGTGCATTGTGTTAACCTTCCCAAATAAAAAAATTCTGAATTCTGAAATACAGCTGGCCCCAAGACTTTTAGATAAAGGAGTTAGAACTTCTAATACCATCTCACAGGAATTGGAAATATTTTATTAACCATAATTCTTTATTTAAGATACTTATCTTTAGCACAATCTGAGCACAGTGACAGAGGTAAGTGAGGTCTTCCTGAAATACAGTTTTGTTATGTTACTCTCCTTAAAGTGCTTTCAGAAGTTTCTTGCTTTCTATAATTCTCCTTATCCTGGGATTGTATGCCTGCCATAGGGTGACAGCTGTCTTCTTTAAGTACCTTTTGTATTCTTTTTGCCTTAAGAGTTTCTTTCAAAGTTAGTCAAACAAAGCATCCTTAACTTCGTGTCTTGACGTGTTATTTCTCTTATTGTAGAAAATCCTTTTCTCTTTCTCTTTGTCAGAATTATTCTAATTCTTCAAGGTGGATTTGAATTCCTACTGTTTCCTAAAGTTTCTCCTGATTAGCTATAGGCCAGAGAAGGGTGTATGTATGTGTATGGTTTTAATATAAATATAATTTACTTCTGCTACTAGATTGTAATTCCTAAGCTAGAAGAGGCCCTGTTATAAATATCCGACCACTCATCATAATGTTTTTCATGATGATTTTTATTTATTGGATATGTTTATTAATGTTGTTTGATTTGGGGGGGACAGTGAAATGAGGGTCTGGTAAAGCAACAAAAGTATATGCTCTGATCATATTGTTAAATTGTTCATCTTTGTTGTGTTAGTTACTGTACACCTAAGTAGCATAAACAAACAGTAAAAATGGGGTTTGGAATAACTCCCCCCTCATGGAGAACATAGGTTCATTGTTAAGTATGTGACGTTTAGATGAGGTAGCAGTATATTTTCTGGGAGATAGGAAGGAATTCTGCAGTAGAAACTGGTGAGACCTTAGACAACAACTTTACATATTTGTAATTTTTCTACATGAGATAATAACAGAATTTATAAGACTTGATGGGCTTTTTTTTTAAATCCTCACCTGAGGACATTTTTCCATTTTTTGTTCAGATAGAATGGGAGGGGGAGAGAGAGAGAGAGAGAGAGAGAGAGAAACATTGACGTGAAAAGGACACATCGAGTGGCTGCCACCCGCACGACCAACCAGAGCCAGGGACAAACTGCAACCGAGGTTCGCACCCTTAGCGGGAACCGAACCCAGTTCTCTCTGGACCGCAGGCTGATGCTCTAACCGCTGAGCCAAACTGGCCAGGGCTTGATGGGCTTTTTGAAGGGTGTTTATAGACAGAACTCAAGACATTTTGGGAACTATTCTCTCAGATTTGAAAAAAGGAGGAACCAGTGAAATAGATAAAAAGTAGTACTGGCTACAGAAAAAGAAATAAGATTATATTGTGCCATGAAAACCCAAGTGTAGAGTTTTAGTGGGTGGTTAAGATTGTCAAATGTTAAAAAGAGGCAAAAGTGCCCAAGAACTGAGAAAAGCAAAAAAGTGGAGTTATTTAATCTGAAGCATAGATTGGAAGCTATTTGTAGGGAGTTAAGGGAATAAATGGTAAGAGGTAGAAGCAGCTGTTTGAGATCATATTCAAAGAATGTGTCAATTAAAAGAGAATCATTCTGCTTTTAAACAGCGTCTTCATAAAATGAAGGAAATTGTGTTGTGTTAAAGGCAGAAGAGAAGACCTTATGGAGAAGGATAAATTGAAGATCCTGGAAAGGAAGGAAATAGTATTGGGAGAGAGTTCTTGTGAAGGGGGTAGAGGAAGATTCTGGAATCAAGAGATGATCTCCATATTAGGATGGAGAGGCACGAGTACAGAGTTTTAAAAATAAGCTTTCCCTACTAAAATAGACTTTTCTAAATTATATGTCTAATGAAGGAAAGATTTTTCACCCTGATCAAAGTTTTCAAGCAATAATAGAATGGGCCAGAAATTCTTTCTCAGAGCACTGCCATTAGAAGGGGATCAGGAATGTATCCCCTCTCCAAAAGAAGGTAGCAGAATGCATTTTTACATGGATTTAAAATTTGAGCAAGAATTCATTTTATTCACTCAAATGGCTAAGCTGTAGGATCTGAGGAAAAGAACTGTTATATAATTTTTTGTTTCCATTTTTAGGATGGTTTCTTGAGTGTCTTAGGAAACTTACCTCCTTTTAAACGTTATTTAACAATTAATTATGGAGTTCTTTGCCAGGCCCTTTAATAGCTATGGAAGACACGTGAGTGGATGAATTATGGTTCCTGCTATTCTAGAGTTCACATTTTAGTTAGATGTGTAAATTATCTATCCTTTTTCCTTGTTTAGTCTTTTCACTCTTAAACACCAAATTAATTTTAGAATAAAACATAGACATCATAAAATATGTCCAGGAATTATCTGTAGCAAGAAAATAGAAGTGTAAGAAAATTTAAGCTCATGTCTCAAATTAAAGAGAAATTATTAACTTAAACAGTATTTAATGTAGGAGTTAGAGTAGTACTTAATTCTTTTTAACTATGTTTATGACTTTTTTAATCCTCACCTGAGGATATGTTTTTATTAATTTTAGAGAGAGAAGAAGGGGACAAGGGGGACGGGGGGAGAGAGAGGTGTGAGAGATGTCAGAGAAACGTCGATCGGTTGCCTCTCATATGTGCTCCTTCTGTGGATTGAACCCGCAACCTAGGCATTTGCCCCGACCAGGAATCGAACCTGCAGCCTTTTGGTGTATGGGACAGTTATCCAACCAGTCAAGCCACCTGGCAAGGGCTATGTTTATGACTATTAAAGAAACATTTTATTTCAATACAGATTTATACAGTTGGCTTAATAGAAGTTCTGTTGTATCTGATATGAACAGATAAACATTCAACTAATATAATTTCTCTTTCATCAGATATAAATAAAATATTTATTGATATTTGCAAGTGAAAATACAAGGATGTAGCACAGTTTTGCTTGCTCAGTGTTTAAGTACTTCGTCTGTTCCTAAGGTTTGGCTGTTCTTAAAATGTCAGCAGGTGTTTTAAACTTTTAGAGAGGAGAGATAAAGAACATCTGATTGTCATTCCATCTAGGCAGTCAATCACATTATTGGCTTACATGGAATACTTCTTACTAATTTTATGGATAAAAAATTAATACTTGCATGTAAGACTGTATCTGATATTTTTTGTAGATGGGTTGAGGGGACCAGTTATTGATTACATGTACATGTTTTTAGTACCAGAATAACATTTCTGAAGGCTCATTTCCTGGTACAAGGTCACTTTTCAGGGGGTGGGGAACCTTCTTTCTGCCAGGGGTCATTTGGATTTTTTTTTGTATCCTCATCCGAGGACATTTTTCCATTTTTTGTTCAGATAGATTGGGAGGGAGAGAGGGAGAAAGAGAGAGAGAGAGAGAGAGAAACATCGACGTGAAAGGGACACATCGAGTAACTGCATCCCACATGACCCAACCAGGGCCGGGGACAAACTGCAACCAAGGTACGTGCCCTTAGCGGGACCCGAACCCGGGTCTCTCTGGACCACAGGCCGACGCTCTAACCACTGAGCAAAGCCGGCCAGGGCCATTTGGATATTTTTAACATTATTCAAGGGCCATACAAAATTATCAAGCTAAAAATTAACCTGCTATATTTGGTCGGGCTAATTTGGTGAGACGTGTGATGTTAGCTGGTATTGATTTCAAGGTCTGTGGGCCAGATGCTCCCCACCCCTAGTAGAAGTGGTCTCAGTTAGGGACTTGCAAGTTGATGCTTCAGAAGATTTACTCCATCTTGTAGAACAGAAGATGCTGCAATATCAGAGACGGAACACCTTGGTCACTTCCAGGGAGATTGTTGATGTTTATGAGTATTAGAATGAATGTAATAATGTTAATTTTAAGTAAAAACAATGAAATAGAAAATATACTAAGTGAAGGCGTTCTAAAAAATACTTCAACTCCGCCCAGCCAGTGTGGCTCAGTGGATTGAGCATTGTCCCATGGACTGAGAGGTCCCGGTTTGATTCCCGGTCAGGGCACATGCCCGGGTGGTGGTTTTCATTCCTATTAGGGGCTGTGCAGGAGGCAGTGGATGAATGTGAGACACATCAGTGTTTCTCTCTCCCCCTTCCTCTCTCTAAAAAATCAATAAAATCATATTTAAAAAAAAATACTTCAACTCCAACTCTGTTTACAAGCTCTGTGACCTGAATCTGTTTCCTTAGATGTAAAAAAGCCAACACTCTCAGGTTAAAATATGTTATTAAATAAATATGCAATAAAATAATGTATGTGAATGTACATTATAATTTGAAAACAAAAGTACAAGGAGACTTAATGTGATGATGTATTTTTAATTTTTACATAGTCATTTAATAGAAGAGATGCATACTGCTAATACTGCCAAAATTTTTAGAAGGAAGGGTAATAAGAAATTGGAGAAATAGAGGTAAAATATGAGCTTAAATAATCCTCATTAAATCAGCATTTTGTCATTTTGTGAAAGTATTGTAATAGAGATAAATAAGATGATACTTTTGGATTTTGATGTAACAGACAGTTGTATCTGTCATTTTTACATACATTTGAAGAGTAATTATACATATTTTTCTCTTCTCTTTAAACTTAAACTTGAAGGTGATGAATACCGATGGCACTGGGAGACGAGTACTAGTGGAAGACAAAATTCCTCACATCTTCGGGTTTACTTTGTTGGGTGACTATGTTTACTGGACTGACTGGCAGAGGCGGAGCATTGAAAGAGTACACAAACGAAGTGCAGAGAGGGAAATCATCATAGATCAGCTCCCTGACCTCATGGGCCTAAAGGCCACAAATGTTCATCGAATCATTGGTAAGTAATTCGAAAGTTCTCTTAGAGGTGGGAGCCAGAAATGAGTAAAGGTGGAGGTGGGCAGCAGTTTGTGAGGCATTATGAATTGTTGATCTTTTGGGTAGATAGAGAAATCATTTGTTAACCGTTTTTTTTGTTGTTTTTTTTAAACCAGGAATGGGGTCTCTTATTTTTCTTTTTAAAATATATTTTTATTGATTTTTAGAGAGAAGGGAGAGGGAGAGAGAGATAGAAACATTGATGTGAGAGAGAAACATCAAATCAGCTGCCTCCCACACTTCTGAAACCTGGGCATATGCCTGAAACCCAGGCATGTCCCCTGACCAGGAATTGAACCGGTGACCTCTTGGTGTATGGAATGACGGCTCAACCACTGAGCCAGACCGGCTGGGCAGGAATGGGTCTTTTAAATGTTGATTTACTACTCTGATCACATAGTTTGAATTGAAGGGATACACACACACACACACACACACCCCTTCATCAAAAGAATTGAGTTCTATTGTATGAATAATGGAGCTTATTTTAAGCTTACTGTGAGTACAAAGGAAAGTATTTTGCCATACTTTAATTCCCAATTGGTTAACCAAGGGAGTTTTGAACTGCTCCGTTTCCAGCCTGGTCCAGTTTATCCCTCCTTAGGTCCTCACTCCAGAAGGTCACCATATTGATGCCAGCTTAGTGTGGACACCTGTGTAGCCTAGCACACTGCAGCTCAGAACTCCTGGTCTCCAGCGATTCTCCGGCTTGGCCTACCGAGTCGCTGGGGCCACAGCTCGCAGCACTGCTGGCCTTTTATTCCCTGTCAGTACTCATAGTGCTGGTTTGTGAGATTAGAACTGAAACTCTGGATTTGGGAGCAATATAATCATAGGTCTCTGTCGACCAAATGCTTAATCATTTAGAAGTAAAAATGTATTGATGATGTCAATGTGTGTGTCCTTTTAGGTTCCAACCCCTGCGCTGATGAAAATGGGGGATGTAGCCATCTTTGCCTCTATAGACCTCAGGGCCTTCGTTGTGCCTGTCCCATTGGCTTTGAACTCATCAGTGACATGAAGACCTGCATTGTCCCAGAGGCTTTCCTTTTGTTTTCTCGGAGAGCAGATATTAGGCGAATTTCTTTGGAAACCAACAATAATAATGTGGCCATTCCACTCACTGGCGTCAAAGAAGCTTCTGCTTTGGATTTTGATGTAACAGACAACCGAATTTACTGGACTGATATATCACTCAAGGTTAGCAAAAGAAGTGGAATATTAAAACTGGGTACTAAACAGGAGAGCTTCTAGAATTTGAGTCTTCATTCTGTGATCAACCTCCCTCGTTGTTTAATAGGCAGAGTTCCATAGAACCCTTAACTTTTTAAAGGAAGTCAAGGGAATCACCCATCTGCTATTTAATTAACTGCCTTTCTTTCTTTTTTTTTTTTCCCTCACTGGAGAACATTTTTCCATTTTTTGTCCAGATAGAGTGGAAGGGAAAGAGAGGGAGAGAGAGAGAGAGCGAGAGAGAGAGAGAGAGAGAGAGAGAGAGAGAGAGAGAGAGAAACATCGACGTGAAAGGGACACATTGAGTGGCTGCCACCTGCACGACCCAATCAGGGCCGGGGACAAACTGCAACCGAGGCACGTGCCCTCAGCGGGAACCGAACCCGGGTCTCTCCGGACCGCAGGCCAACGCTCTAACCGCTGAGCCAAACCGGCCAGGGCTAACTGCCTCTCAATATAAGATACTTTGCTTGAGCGTCTAAATCTGTAAGACACAATCTTCCTCTACTGTGTTCCATTTGAAGATAATGAGTGACATTTTCCGCGTTAGAGAGTAAGCAATTGTATGCTTCACATAAATGGCTTAAAGAGACTTGACTCTTAATTTATTTTCAACAAAATTTTGGAGCCTGACTGAGGTAGAAAATGCCAATTATGAGTTACAGCACTAGTTTATTTGCTTTTTCCTGGAATAAACATTGAAAAACATACTGAGTCAAAAAGGAATTCTCAGAAAATCTGGAGAATAATGTTTTCTTTCAGATTGTTTTGGGTTTGTTTCACATAACTTCTGTAAAGTTCTGTCTAATGTGCAAAAATCATGGAGTAATGAAGCCAGAGTAGGATTCTGATAATGTTCAGTAAAAGCCATTAAATGAGTTAATAAATGAAGTAAATAAAGAAATCTTGCCCTGGCCGGTTTGGCTCAGCGGTTAGAGTGTCGGCCTGCGGTCCAGAGAGCCCTGGGTTTGGTTCCCGCTAAGGGCACGTACCTCAGTTGCATTTTGTCCCCGGCCCTGGTTGAGTCGTGTGGGTGGCAACCACTCGATGTGTCCCTTTCACGTCGATGTTTCTCTCTCTCCCTCCCACTCTATCTGAACAAAATATGGAAAAATGTCCTCGGGTGAGGATTAAAAATAAATAAATAAATCTTGGCTTTTACTGTGGCCATCTAAGTATCCTCATCTTGAAAATAGAGGTGATCTCTATCTTCAGGGCTATTGTGAGGGTTAAGTGAGAAAATATATGTACACAGAGTACTTAGGATAGTGCTTGACAGGAAGAGCAGGTGTTATTAATTGCTTGAATTATGATTGTTTTTAATTTTAGGGCATTCAAAGTTATAGCAGGGATAATATGATAATGGAGTATTATGCATTTATTGTTTTTAATTCTCACCTGAGGATAGGTTTTTATTGATTTTTAGAGAGGAAGGGAGAGAGAGAGAGAGAGAGAAAAAAAGAAACATCAGTGTGAGAGCGAAACATCAGTTGGTATGTGCCCTGACTGGAAATCAGACCCGTGATCTTTTGGTGTACAGGTGACACTCCAACCAACTGACCACCTAGTCAGGGCAGTATTATGTGTTCTCTAAGGTATAAGTTTGTTGAAATCTTCTCAAATTAACATAGTGACATGGCATACTCTTAAGTACCTTCAGAAAACTGACTACCAGTTAAGAGTCTACAACATTCTGGTCACAGCTTTTTCATTTGATTAATAATTTTAAAAGAAAAGTCATTGCACCCTTTTACTAGAATAAAATTTTGGTCCTTAAAAATCTCAAAAATTTTTCCCTGAATTGTCAATAAAACTTGAGGTCACATCGCATATATTAGAGCTTGATATCATTTGTTTCCTGTGCTTATTAAAATATATTAATTGTATTAATAAACTGTGCCTCTGGCGCTTGTGGATCCTCCCACCCAACAAAACCTAAAGAAAACATTCTTTTTTTTTTTTTTTTATGAATTTTTATTTATTTTTTTGTTACAGATATTTTACCTTTTTACCCCATTGGCATCCCCCACCCCACCCTCCCTCTACCCTGTCCCCGGCTTAGTTGTCCATGTCCTTTGGTCATGCATACATGCATATAAGTTCTGTGGTTTATCTCTTCCCACCCCTCCACCCCCCATCCCCTCTTCTGAGGGATGTCAGTCTGTGCCCTACTTCCATGTGTCTGGGTCTACTGTATTCCTCAGACTGTTATGTTCATTATATTCCGTATATAAGTGAGATCATGTGGTATTTGTCTTTTTCTGCTTGGCTTCTTTCACTTAGGATAATACTTTCCAGGTCCCTCCATGTTGTCTCAAAGGATAAGAGATCTTTCTTTCTTACCACTGCATAATACTCCATTGTGTATATGTACCACAGCTTTTTTATCCATTCGTCTACTGGTGGACACTTGGGCTGTTTCCAGATCTTAGCTATTGTAAATAGTGCTGCTATGAACATGGGGGTACATATATTCTTCCTGATTGGTGTTTCAGGCAAGAAAACATTCTTGATGGTGTTTTGTACTTATGCCATTTAACTTTGTTGCTAATCTTATTTTTGCAGACCATCAGCAGAGCCTTTATGAATGGCAGTGCACTGGAACATGTGGTAGAATTTGGCTTAGATTATCCAGAAGGCATGGCAGTAGATTGGCTTGGGAAGAACTTGTACTGGGCAGACACAGGAACGAATCGAATTGAGGCATCAAAGTTGGATGGGCAGCACCGACAAGTTTTGGTGTGGAAAGACCTAGACAGTCCCAGAGCTCTTGCGTTGGACCCTGCTGAAGGGTAAACAGCTTTATATATGAATTCTTTGCCAACTGCATTGTACATGTCCTAGTTATGGGTTAAATTCTTTTTTTTTTTTTTTTAATCTTTACCCGAGAATAGGTTTCCATTGTTAGAGAGAGAGAGAGAGAGAGAAACACTGATGTGTGAGAGACATTGATCAGTTGCCTCCCATTTGCACGCCCTAACCGGGATCAAACCCACAACCCAGGAATTGAACTTGCAACCTTTTTGTGCCTGGAACAATGCTCCAACCAACTAAGCCACCTGGTCAGGGCATGGGAGATATGTGTATATATATGTGTGTATATATATATCTTTATTGTTGAAAGTATTACAAATATCCTCCCCCTCACCAATGACATCTCCTTCCCTGGTCCCGCTCTCTTTTTTTTTTTTAATTCTCACCCGAGGATATTTTTCCATTAATTTTTAGATAGAGTGGGAGGGAGGGAGAGAGACATCGATTGGTTGCCTCCCTCACGACTCCACCCAGGGCTGGGGATTGAACCACAACTGAGGTATGTGCCTTTGACTGGAATCAAACCCCCAACTCTTTGGTTCAGGGGCCATCGTTCAAACTGCTGAGCCAAACTGGCCAGCGCCATGGATTATATCTTTGATATCTGAATTTTTATTAGGAATCTGACAACTAAACTATATAGATAGGCTTTACTTTAAAACTGTTAGCTGACATTTTACTGACTTAGAGTTAATAATTATTAGCTAAATCTTACTTTTGTCATTATGAACCTTGGGTGAAGAACAAGTAGTGAAATGGATTAATAATTAAATATTACCATTCATGTTTATGTTTCCCTGCACCCTCTCCCAAGTTATACCAGATTCCAAACCTATTAAAGTAAATCCTCTGAAATAATGTTGTATGCAAAGAGATAACTGCATTTAAAAAAAGCTCCATTTTAGAATACTCATTCATTCAAGGGGACAACTATTTTAATCTTTGTTATAAGCTTGGAGAAACTTTGTTATTAATCAGTTAACTGTTATCGATAAATGAATAATAAACTTTTTTTTTGTTTTGTTAATCCTCACCCAAGGATGTTTTTCCATTAATTTTCATAGAGAGTGGAAAGGAGGGAAGGGAGCAGAGAGAGAGAAAAACATCCATGTGAGAGAGACACATCAGTTGGTTGCCTTCCACACAGCCCCAATTTAACCTGCAACCCAGGTACGTGCCCTTGACCAGGAATTGAACCTGCACCCTTTTGGTACGAGGGCCAACCAGCCAGGGCAACAGTAAACTGTTTATGAAATTATGTTTTCTAAGAATACATGATCCTTCTGCATGAATTAGAAAAATTTAAAAAGCCAGCAGATAAGAGTTCTGAAACTTGAAGAGTAATTTCACATTTAAAAGCAGAAATTAACAGTGTGAACATACAAGCATATTTTGCCATATCTGTAATTAAAAATAGATTTCCTGAAATCACATTAATTCTATGATTAGCTAGTTAGCTATACCAAAAACAGCTTCTCTGTGCTGACATGTTGTGGTTGGATTATGGTGATCTTTTACTTTAAGTTTCAGTTACCAGACAGATAAATTTAGTAGTTGGGACTAAGGACCCTAGTTTATGTGGCTGCTGGCAACTGAGGTTTCTCTCACAGTTGTTTCTCCCTGGCTCTTGTGGTGTGCACGTGCCTGTCAGCTGACAAGTACAGATGCAAGCAAAGCCAGAGACCAGCTTTACTTTTCAGAAAAGCATTGCTACCAAGTCGGCCATCAGCTGACAGGCTCATGAGTGAATGTCTGTCCTCAGGTATTTGATGAGAGTTGGCGTGTGGAGTGCTTTTCTAGTCCCAAGGTTCAGAGTGTTTCGAAATTTTCACCTTACTAGTTTTAGTTGCAAGGGCATTTGGCTAAGTTATAATTCTTGCTCTGTCATGTGACTGGCTTGAAGACATTAGACAAATTATTCACATTTCTTTCAGTGCTTTGGCCTCCTCATAAGTTAAAAACCTACAATACTGTCAGACTACTCTAAGAGTAATATGAAAAACTTGAAAAAGTAAAATAAAAGCAAAAGCATATTCTAAAATTTCACAGGGATTATAGTAGTAGTGTTCTATGCCCAGACGACACATTAAGGAGTGATTCATTGCTCTTACACATAGAGTATGTTCCCTTGGACTATGTGACCAAATGTATTTTCAAACTGCGCTTTTAAACTTCAGTTAAAGGCTATTAATTTGTATACTTGATGTACTCCTTCATCTTGTTTTTGGGGAGAGTTACTATACAAGTGGAAACATAAGTTTAAAATGTAAAAAACTCAAATTCCTTGTATTCAGAAATACATAAAGATACTTTGTTCAAAAGTGAACCAGATTTGGAGACCAGGGCTGTAATCCCTTCTCTTCTTGAATATTAGTTTTATAAATGCAAGTGTTGCAATAAGGAAATCATTGGTTTGTTTCCAGTTCCTAGGTTTTGGATGGAACAGATTCATTGGAAAAACTAAGGAAAGCTGACTCACTTCCTTTTTAGGATATAAGAAAAAATATTTAGTTGAGGGTGCCAGAATAATTGAAAATTATAGCCATGATTTTGTTTTACCAGTTTCCTTGATTTAATGTATATTTTCTTTAAAGTTATTTAGTTAACTATGCATGAATGTGTCCCTTTCTCTCCAAATAATCAAAAGTGAAATGTTAAATATCCATTGATTTGAATTTAGATTCATGTATTGGACTGAGTGGGGTGGAAAACCTAAGATAGACAGAGCTGCCATGGATGGAAGTGAACGTACTACATTAGTTCCGAATGTGGGGCGTGCAAATGGCCTAACTATTGATTATGCTAAAAGGAGGCTCTACTGGACAGACCTGGACACCAATTTAATAGAATCTTCAAATATGCTGGGTAAGTTCTACTTTTTATTCAGACAGTGGTATATTGTTTTTTCTATGCAAAGACCAGAAAGGTTGCTGTTACTATTGGTTAGATTCTATTAATAAAATTTCACATGAATGTTTAGCTGGCATTGTATTCTGTTGTTACTAACAGTAGGCTAGGTACTTGGATTCATCTCTTTATTATGTGGAAATTTCATTATTGTGCTTGTAATGGAATTTATAACTCCCTAGATATTCCTGAAGTGACTTTTTGTACCAGTAAAATACAGTATACACATTTCCATCTTGTTATGGAAGGAAGAAGAAAAATTGAACTCTATTGGCTTTTATGGAGAGAAAGTTAGACCACAATCAAAATAGACCATTTACAGGAGTTTAAACAAACTCAGTGATTTATAGCAAGAATATAAGTTTGAGGCATTGGGTCAGACTGCAGATGGATTGATTTCAGAGGACTGGTCTGGTTTTAGAATTGCCTTTAAATGAATTGTTCTATTTTAAATTGCTTACAAATGTTTGTTCAATATGTTACAGTTTGGGGGAGAGGGCAATAAGACTCTTACTCTCACAAAATACATCCCTCTGCTTTTCTCCTTTCTACTGCCTTTCCGAAAATAGGACTCAACCGTGAAGTTATAGCAGATGACTTGCCTCATCCTTTTGGCTTAACTCAGTACCAAGATTACATCTACTGGACGGACTGGAGCCGACGCAGCATTGAGCGTGCCAACAAAACTAGTGGCCAAAACCGCACCATCATTCAGGGCCATTTGGACTATGTGATGGACATCCTCGTCTTTCACTCCTCTCGGCAGGCAGGGTGGAACGAGTGTGCTTCCAGCAATGGGCACTGCTCCCACCTCTGCTTGGCTGTGCCAGTCGGAGGTTTTGTCTGTGGATGTCCTGCCCACTACTCTCTCAATGCTGACAACAGGACATGTAGTGGTAAGCTGCATTTCTCCAAAGCAAACTAGAAACAGGAGAAAGCAGGACCTTGAAAACACTGTGGTTCATCTTCTTTCTAGAGTGGAAAGTTGTAGAAGTCCAGAGTTGGTGGTCATTTGTTTTAAAAAAAGGGAAGGACTAGAGATGGAAAATGCATGTCTTTGTTACTCTTTATTTTATGATAGCTAGTTGATACTATGTAATAACAGATATTATAGAAAAATTAAATCTTTTACCCTTAAGCATTAAATATCTAGTGCAAAATTTGCATAGCTACATTGTGAGAGGCAGACAATCATATATCCATGCTATACATAATTCATATTTATTTATTGCAAAGAAAGGGAAGAGCAGTACAAAGAGAATCTCCAAAACACTGCCACCTTGTCCTTTGAAGTTCATGGAATAGGCTAAAGATAAAAAATTTAAGTGTATAAAAGGCCAAGTAGAAAATGCATATGAGTAAATTTAGTCTAATATGAAATAGTAGCAAATAGATGGGAGACTAGAGTACATGCTGTGAACATAGGTGGTTGCTACTTAATTCCAGCTGTTGTTATCTGATTTTCTTCTTTAGTCATGAATCCAGATTTTGGATGGTGGGGGGCTACACTATCTCCTGATTTTACATGTTAACAGGTACTGCATATTAACACACACACACACACACACACACACACACTGCTAACAACAATAAAACACAGTGCATAACAACAGGTTGGCTTAGGGAAACCTAATTCATGACTCAGGTATTCATGAAAGCCCACGTTGGTACACAAGAACAAATTGGTAGATGTAATAAAGATAAAGAGAATTAGATCAGAAAAAGCAGAATCATGGGAGAGCATTAGGATATTGTTCACTAGGGTAGAACGTACAAAACTGCTGTAGGATGTTAGATGTAATAATCGAGATTACTTTGTTCTGTATCTGGAAGTATAAGACATCACATAGGAAAAGATTTAGTCTCTTCTGACACAAGGCTTCCATCGTGAAAAGGAACATAAGTTGATAGTTTAGTGATATGGAGTCTCTGCCACATTAGTTTTGTGTTTTACTATAGCAAGTCACATAAATTTTTTAAACCTTAATTTTTCTCATTTGTAAAATGGGAATAATAATAGTAACTATTTTGTATGGTTGCCGTGAAAATTAAATAAGATATACCATGATTGATTGCTCTGGAAACGATTTGAGGAGGAAAAGAAGTGCTGGGGAAGTCAGACTAGTGCAGCAATGCCGGCAAACTTGGACTGGGGTGGTGGCAGTAGGGATGGAGAGAGGCTGATCGATTCAAGGTACATTTTGAAGCTAGAATGAACAGACCTTGTTAATGGGTTGTATATGGGGGAGAAGAAGAGGGAGGAAGCAGCGATGACTTCTAGATTCTTGGTTTGAGCATAATTTTAGGCAGGTTTATATTGATATTTCTATGGGACATTGCAATAGAAATACTAAATAAGCCCAGCCGGTATGGCTTAGTGGATTGAGCGTCCTCCCATGGACTGAGAGGTCCTGGTTTGATTCCTGGTCAAGGCACATGCCCTGGTGGTCAGCTTGATCTCCAGTAGGGGGTGTGCAGGAGGCAGCCAATTGATGTTTCTCTCTCACATCGATGTTTCTTTCTCTCTAAAAAATCAATAAAAACATATTTTTAAAAAAAAATAAGTTGGGATAAGATTCCAGAGCTCAGAGTAGAGAGATGAGGTCAGAGGTAGAAATTTTGAAATTGCCAGCATATATTTAAAATAGGGGAGATTAATTACGGGGAAGATGTAGAGCCAGGATCAGTAAACCTTTTCTGTAAAGGGCCAGAGAGTTAGTATTTAGGCTTTGTGAGTTGTATCGTGTCTCACAGATACTCAACTCTGTCCACTGTACCATGAAAGAAGTCACAGACAATACACAAAATGTGACTGAATTCTGATAAACTTTATTACAAAGATAGGCAGCAGTCCAGATTTAGCTTGTGGGCCATAATTGCCAATTCCCGGTATAGAAAAAAGAAGGCATCTGGAGGAGAGAGAGCTTGCAGTGGACACTGAAAAATAGCAGCCAGAGAGGTAAGAGGAAAACCAGAAGAGAGTAGTGACAGAGAAGATGAGAGGTAAGATTGTTTCAGAAAAGAACTGTGTTGGGTGCTGCTGAGGTTGAGTAAGATGAGGTATAAAATGGTATCCACTGGGTTTTTGAATGAGGTGGTTTTACTAACCCTGAATAGAATAATTTCAGGGAAATAAAGGTGAAAGTCTGGAGCAGATCAAAAAGGGAATGGAGAAGAAGAATGGGAGATAGTGTACATAGACGTCTTTATCAAGAGGTTTGACTTTGGATGGAGGAAGAAAATGGCGGTAATAGCAGATTGGGGATAAAGACCAGAAGAATATGGAAAGACCTTTTGAGATCATTATCATGAGTGCATGTTGGTTGGTGAAGGCCATGAGAAATCACTGCTGAGTGTCCCTAATATCTGTGTTTGGCAACTTTCCAAAACAGATCAGCATGCTTCAAGAAGCCTCCTGTTGTGTGCTCTTTTCATAATGAGTACTATTTAATATTTGGGTAGAGATGTATTAGATTTCAAGGCAGATTACAAGGAAAATTGAACACAAAGTACTTGCCCTTAAAAAGTTTTCTAACATTGTGTGATTTACTCCTTGACCTATGTTTCAAAAGCTAAATCAGATTGTGTTGTTTTTCTGCCCAAAACCTTAAAATGGCTCCCCATGTCACACAGAGTAAAACCTAATCTTGTAATGGCCTACAAGTTCCTACATGGTCTGTACCCCACATGTGGCATCCCCACCTTTTGCTCCTCTATCTTCAGCTTTTACTATTCTCTTCCTTGCTCTCTCCATGACAGCCATACTAGATCAGAACTGTTGTCCTGCTTATTTCTTTGCTCGGAATGTTCTTACTGCAAATATTTGCATGGATCTGCTTCACTTCTATGTCTTTGTTCATTGTGACCTTCACCAGGAGACCTGGTCTACCCTATTTAAAATGTGCAAATCATCCTTTCACTCTGTTTAGCGTTGCCTGTGCCCCTTACCTAACTTTTTCTTCTTCCCATAACACTTATCATTCTTTGATATACTATATAATTTATACACTCTTATTATTTATATACTATAACTTCTTTATGTTTATTGCTTATTGTCTGTTGGTATATAAACTCCTCAGAGCATTTTTTTTCCTGTTTTTTTCACTGATGTGTAATATCTTATGTGCCTAGAATAGTGCTTGGTAAATGGTAGTCATTCAAGAAATAATTGTTAAATGAAAGAATGATAAAACAGGACAGGATTTGGAAAAACACATGTGCTCTTCCATTCAACAGGTTTCTGACCTTGGAGAAATTGATTAACCTTTGAAGGCTTCCTTTAAAAATTAACCTTTCTGAATTTTCTCACCTCTAAAATGGAGATGATCATTTCAGGGATTAAATAATATCTGGTATGACGTGTGTGACATGTTGGAGGTTCTAAATAAATGTTCATTTGTTTTCCTTCCCAAGTCTCTGAAATAATTTTATTTTCTTTCAGAATCATGGCTACATGGTTCTCCTTAGTTATCATCATCTAATGCTTATGTCTTCATTTGTTTATTCATTTATTATTTGAGTGAATAATTATTGAACATGTACATAATGGGCATTATTTGAGCCAGTAGAAAATGTAGCAGGGAATGAAGTAGACATCAGTCCTTGCTCTCATGGAACCTACACTCCAGTGGGAGAGAGAACAAACCAATTAAGTAAACTCTGTCATGGGTAAAATGGAAGTACATGTTACAGAGAAATTTTAAGTGTGAGAAGGGGTGGGGAGGAGGATTGCAATGTTAAATAGGGTGATTAGAGAAGTCACTACTGGAAAAGTGACATGTCATGACCTGAAAGAGGTGAGGAAATGAGCTTTGTGGATATCTGGGGGAAAACCTATCAAGCAAAAGGGGACAGGCAGCAAATGCAAAGGCCCGAGGGGAGAACATGTCTGGTACGTTAGAGGAACACCTAGGAGGCCGGTGGTGTTGGAACAGAATGAATAAGTAGATTAAGTCAGAGGAAACAGGAAACCAGATTGTGTAATCCTTTGTTCAGTACTGAAGTGACTGGCTTCTATGGCACCTTTGTACAAATTGGGAAAAGATGTTTCCTCTGGGCAGATGCAACTGTGCAGGTGCATGGTTTGGATATGGACTGGACTTCTGTACCAACTCAAGCCTTGGGTACAGTGCACAAATGCACAGTCAGATGTGGTGGGTGCCCTTATAGATGATGCTGTTTTTACACAAGAGCAGTGCCTTCCGTTAAGCTGCAGGTGAACACTTGTGCCTTCAACAGAGAGCTGAAAAGCTCCCTTCTACTTACACCTCATCCTCCAACTTTGGCATGTGGCTCTTTTCATTGTGGGAATGCAACACTCAGCCTTATAAGACAATTATTAAAGTGTTATTCCCCAGGAGATGCAGTGTTTAGAGGTTACGTAAATTAGGATGGATTTAGGTTTACAAAATTGCATATTCCGTGTTACTTTAAGCACTGAATGACTTGTAAACAAGTGAAAACATCAGCTTTCTCTTAGAAATATTAAGCCAATTAATTGCAATTGCTAATGTTATCTGTAGACTTTTTGAAACAAGTATTTATTTGGAACCATATTTGGCGTTGTCTTAATGCACATTTCTAGAACATCTAGTTGTAGAATATTATTGAAGGTAAAACTTGATTAATAAAAAATAGTTCTCAGTAAAACATACTTAGGAGCCAAATATATATTTGATACTGTTTCCCAGTCAGGAATAGCTGGCAACTAAAATTCAGGGGCCTTACCTTCTAAGTCTCATTGTATGTCTTCATATAGGTGGTGCTTATGCTGTTGGAAACTAAAATTTAGAGCTTCTTTTTTTTTCTTTCTTGCTTTACAAGAAAGTAGTACTGCAAAAAAAAATTCTTAAAACAACGATGGGAGAGTCGTGATCTACTCTGTTGTGACGTGTGTTCTTACTGCTTAAGACACGGGTTCTACTAAAATTGATGAAAGTTGTTAAATCATATATATGATGGACTCCAGATAATGGAGCACTCCAGTGGGATGATTGGAGTATGTTCTGAATCTTCGGAGCGAAGTGTGGGCTTTTAGCCAGTGAAGAACTTAGAGCAGAATTTCAGTGTTGTGAATACTGAGGGTCTCTGTGAGTACCAATGAGTTTCTTATCTTTCATTTTTTATTTATTTTTATTTTTATTTTTATTTCTTTACTTGGAGAAACAGAGGCCCAGAGTAATAGGTCCACCTGTGAGTTGGCTTGAGGACCAATGGCTGACCTAACCTTTCCTTCTGCAGGGCCTGCTGCTCATTATGGAACTAGATACACATTTTTAAAATTAATTAATTAATTTTTTAATTTCATTTTTGTTATACATGTTTATCCTTTCTTACCCTGTTGACACCCTCCTCCCCATCGCCCCCCCACACCGTCCTCGGCTTTGTTGTCCATGTCCATTGGTTATGTGTACATGTATGTAAATTCTGTGGTTTATCTCCTCCCTCCCTCCACCACCCCCTCTTCCAAGGGTTGTCAGTCAGTACCCTACTTCCACCTCTCTGGGTCTGCCCTATTCTTCTGACTGTTATGTTCATTATATTCCGCAAATAAGTGAGGTCATGTGGTATTTGTCTTTTTCTGCTTGGCTTGTTTCGCTTAGGATAATACTTTCCAGGTCTCTCCATGTCGTCTCAAAGGATATGAGATCTTTCTTTCTTACAGCTGCATAGTACTCCATTGTGGATATGTACCACGAGTTTTTTATCCATTTGTCTACTGACGGACACTTGGGCTGTTTCCAGATCTTAGCTATTGTAAATGGTGCCGCTATGAACATGGCGGTACATATATTCTTTCTGATTGGTGATTCAGACTTCTTAGGGTATATTCCTAGAAGTGGGATCACTGGGTCAAATAGAAGTTCAATTTTTAATTTTTTGAGGTAACACCATAGTGTTTTCCATAGTGGCTGCACCAGTCTGCATTCCCACCAGCAATGTACTAGAGTCCCCTTATCTCCACATCCTCGCCAACACTTGTTTAATGATTTGTTGATGGCGGCCATTCTGACAGGTGTGAGGTGATACCTCATAGTTGTTTTAATTTGCATCTCTCTGATGATTAGTGATGTTGAGCATTTCTTCATATGTCTCTTGGCCATTTGTATGTCCTGTTTCGAGAGATGTCTATTCAGCAACTCTGCCTTTTTTTTTTTTTTCCTCACCTGAGGACATTTTTCCATTTTTTGTTCAGATAGAGTGGGAGGGAGAGAGAGAGAGAGAGAGAAACATCAACGTGAAAGGGACACATCGAGTGGCTGCCATCCACACGACCAACTGGAGCCGGGGACAAGCTGCAACCGAGGTACACGCCCCTAGCGGGAACCGAACCTGGGTCTCTCTGGACCACAGGCCAACACTCTAATTGCTGAGCCAAACCAGCTAGGGCTCTGCCTATTTTTTAATTGGGTTCTTTGTCTCCTTTTTTTGACTTGTATGAGTACTCTATATATTTTGGAAATTAACCCCTTATCTGATGTATCATTGGCAATGATGCTCTCCCATACAGTGGATTGCCTTTCCGTTTTGATGATTGTATCTTTTCCTGTGCAGAAGCTTTTTAGTTTGATGTAGTCCCGTGTGTTCATTTTCGCCTTTGTTTCTGTTGCCTTAAGTGATGTATCAGTGAAAATTCTGCTGCGTATGATGTCTGAAATTTTGTTGCCTACATTTTCTTCTCGGATTTTTATGGATTCATGAGTCACATTTAAGTCTTTTATCCATTTTGAGTTTATTCTTGTGTATGGCGTAAGTTGAAAGTCTAGTTTCATTTTTTTGCATGTAGCTGTCCAATTTTTCCAACACCATTTATTAAAAAGGCTATCTTTACTCCACTGTATGCTCTTCCCTCCTTTGTCAAATATTAATTGAGCATATTGCCTTGGGTCCATTTCTGGCTTCTCTGTTCTGTTCCACTGGTCTATATGCTTGTTCTTGTGCCAGTACCAGGCTGTTCTGATTACAGTGGCTTTGTACCTGAAATCTGGTAATGTGATCCCACCTACTTCGTCCTTCTTTTTCAAGATTGCTGTGGCTATTGGAGGTCTTTTTTGGTTCCATATGAACATTTGAAGTATTTGTTCTAGTTCTGTGAAGTATGTCGTTGGTATTTTGATGGGGATTGCATTGAATCTATAGATGGCTTTGCGTAATATGGACATTTTAATGATGTTAATTCTTCTAATCCATGAACAAGGTATGTGCTTCTACTTTTTTATATCTTCCTCTATTTGTTTTTCAATGACCTGTAGTTTTCTGTGAATAGGTCTTTTATTTCTTTGGTTAAGTTTATTCCTAGGTATCTTAATTTTTTTGCCGCAATGGTAAATGGGATTGTTTTCTTAGTTTCTCTTTCTGTGAGTTTATCATTGGTGTAAAAGAATGCCATTGATTTCTTGACGTTAATTTTGTATCCTGCTACTTTGCCAAAATCATTTTGTAAGTCTAGTAAATTTTTGATGGTGTCTTTGGGGTTTTCTACGTGTAGTATCATGTCATCTGCGAATAATGACAGTTTCACTTCCTCCTTTCCATTTTGGCTATCATAGTGGGCTTTGGAGCCTGCCAAATTTTCTCTGTGGGTGTTAGAATTCTGCTGTTTGTGGCTCCCTCTCCTGGGTTTGGATGAGCGTGGGGGGACCCATGTTAAACACCACTGTGAAGTCTTACTTTTTTGGACAGAGTTGCAAGCCCAGGAATGGTTCAGTTATCCTCTAACTTTTTGCCTGGAGGCTATTAGTTGAGGTTACTTGAAGAGCATTGGGTTCTCAGTTGAATCTCATTTTTTATTTTTAAATATGTTTTTCGAGAGGAAGAGAGAGAGAGAAAAAACATCAATTGGTTGCCTCCCATCTGCACTCCGACCAGTGATTGAAATAGCAACCTGGGTATGTGCCCTGACCAGGAGTTAAACTGGTGACCTTTTGGTGTGTGGACAATGTTCAGCCAAGTGAGCCACACTGGCCAGAACAGTACCAATGAGTTTTTTATGATTTAAGGGGACACATCGAGTGTCTGCCACCTGCATGACCAACCGGGGCCAGGGACAAACTGCAACCGAGATACACGCCCTTAGCGAGAACCGAACCCAGGTCTCTCTGGACTGCAGGCCGATGCTCTAACCGCTGATTCAAACCGGCCAAGGCAGTTTTTTGGGGATTTAAGCCAATACACATTGGGATGTAAAAGTAAAGTAAAACAGGGAACCGTGAAGAATGGGGATTAGGGAGAAATGAAGGAATCATAGCTTGACTATGTTTATATCCCTGAGAAGGATAAAATTCTACTGGATTTAGGTGATGACTGACCCCCAGGAGAATAAAATATGCTATGGAATTTTATATATATTCTAATGAAGATTTTAAAAATGCTGTTAGGCTTTGAAGTTGTTGGTAGCACTGTCAAATGCTGTTATCTCCTAGATGTTTTTCTGCATTAAAGATGATTACATAGTAATCAGAGGTCTGGTCTCTAGGAAAGAGCAATGTTTTTTCTGTTGCATTCCCCCACTTCATAAATTTAGGGCATCAACTTAGAAGAAGAGCAGAATATTTATTAGTGAAAATATAAATACAAGGTTTGTTATGAGGATTCGAGGTATTGAGTATGAAGCATTTATTATTAGTTTGAGAGGAAGAGAGAGATTTTTGTCAACTCCTTCTCATGGCAGAAATCCCATACACCCAATGCAAAATAAAGCCTATACCTGCAGTCCATGAGGGTTTGTTTGATTCCTATTAATGACACATTTATTGCTGCTGCTACTGATGATAGTAAACAATAGTTATTTTTATCTTACATTTATATAATTTTTATTACGTTAAAATTGACATAATGTCTTATAATTTTTAAAGTATTTTTACATATGTTACAAAATTCTTACAGCAAGTCAATGAGCAGGACAAGATAGCTATCACCTTATTTTAGAGTTGCATAAACTTTGATGCAAAGAGGTTCAGTGACTTAGTTAAGGTCAATAGAGAGCTGGAACTAAAACCAGTCTTGAAGTTTCTGCTTTGACCTGTGGAGGCCCAGCTTCCTGTCACCCACAAGAAGATGTTGTGGAGGATTATTCACTTCATGAACGGGGAGAATTTTGTATATCTTTGTCAAATGCTTCATTGAACTGAAGTCTCCTATGATACCATAGTGGACAAAATAGAAAAAATACGCTGGATGGATTTGTTATTGAGTAAATTCATAACTGGTTTGGTAACCAGGCTGCTGATTAGTGTCACTTTGAAGAGGGTTTCAGGGGTTATACCAAAGGGTTTTGTCCTCAGTCTTACCTCTTTACCTCTTCAACATCTGTGTGTTTTGTAGGAGGTATAGCTACGAGATGATCAAATCTTTGAGTGATACAGGACTTAGTCTGTTTCAGATTTGCTTTTTTCTTTCTTTAAGCTCCAACTACTTTCCTGCTCTTCAGTCAGAAGAGCGCCATCAACCGCATGGTAATTGATGAACAGCAGAGCCCCGACATCATCCTTCCTATCCACAGCCTTCGGAATGTCCGAGCCATTGACTATGACCCACTGGATAAGCAACTATATTGGATTGATTCACGACAAAACATGATCCGGAAAGCACAAGAAGATGGCAGCCAGGTAATTCAAGGCTCAGTGCAAAACCCATTTTTTTTCCACCTAGTAATTAGATTGAGCAATCATCCTATTTTCTTTAATAGTTGATTCTGCACGTGCGTTCATGTGTGTGTGCAAAACTAAAATTGGAGACTGAGCAGCTTTTCCCCCTGCTAATAATCTTTGAGTATACATTGGTTATTTGTGTGTGTGTGTGTGTGTGTGTAAATATTTGATGACTGTGGAATGGGAATGAAAACATTATCAACAAATCTTACCTATGCTTACATACCAGTCATCATTTACATACCACTATCCATACTTCTTTGCTTTTTTTTTATGACCAAGCAGTATTAAACTGAGATCACTATAATTATATGTCATCTTAGTTGTGATGTTAAGTTTGATTTTGAATGTGTTACAATTTAGGGAGATTAGATTATTAATTTTTTATATGTCTTATCTCACACAGAAGAGCAAAAGGGTACTGTTTTTAGGGCTGCTGAGAGGTCATTTAGGAATATAGTTATAATGCTATATTACAGATGCACCTTACTCTGTGTAGGCCAGGACTAACAGGCTGATAGAGAGAAATTATAGCTGTTACTATACAGCCAAGGACATGGCAAATAAATGAGATAGCCTCATATAGAGTATGTTACCTCAGTGATGCTGAGTAAATAAAACATAATTTGTTCAGATAGAAGAGAATAACAGAGGCTCTCTTTTTGCTTGGCTCTGTAAAAAAATTTTTTTTGGTGGATTTAAGTATTAGAGACAGACATGATTAATAGATGTAGTTTATAGCTAATTGCTATTGTCTCTGGAGCAGACTTGGTCAGTTTCAGCACTGTTGACATTTTTGGGCTGGGGAGTTCTTTATTGTGGAAGACTGACCTGTTCATTGTAAGCTGTTTAGCAGCATTCCTGGCCTCTACCCACTAGATGCCAGTTATATCTCCCATGGGGTGATAATAAAAAATGTCTCCAAACATTGCCAAATGCCCTGGTTTAGGCATTTGCACATGCAAAATTGCTCCTTGTTGAGAACCACTGATTTAGAGTTATTTCTAAGGTATGGTTCTAGCCAAGATTGTCTATAAGAGAGAGCTGTCACCTCCTTATGTTCATCTCTAATCAGTGCATTATCAGGTTCTTAGAGCAACTAATGTGGCCTTAGCTCACTCTTCTGCCCCATGTCTTAATAACCAAAGGGAGCATTTGAAATGCATGGTAACAAAGAAGCACCGTACTCATAAAAAAAATGTACCAGCAAGAAATGTCCCTTGAGATTTTTTTCTCAGATGAGTAACTATATAAATGTAAGCATTGTGAGTGATCGCCTCAGGACTATCTGGTTTGGAGTCTAATTTTCTGTGTGTATGTCTTTTCTTTCTCTAGGGCTTTACTGTGGTTGTGAGCTCAGTTCTGAATCTAGAAATACAACCCTATGACCTCAGTATTGATATCTATAGCCGCTACATCTACTGGACTTGTGAGGCCACCAACGTCATTACTGTCACCAGATTAGATGGGAGATCAATTGGAGTAGTGCTGAAAGGCGAGCAAGACAGACCTCGAGCCATTGTGGTAAACCCAGAGAAAGGGTATGTTACTGAAGTACCTACCATTCAGACATCTTGGCCTCTGAGACCCTCATCAGCCTTCCTTTTCAGTCCTTAGTTATTTACCTTTAAGTGTCCTGTGTTTCAGTGAGGAACTTAACATTTTCATCTACCTGCCCCCTGTATTTTCTTACTTTCTCTGATTTTACTACCTATAATTTTCTTTTTTTAGTCACTATTGCTTTAATTCTAATTTCTACCCATACTTCTAGGACCATTTGAACTGCAACATCATCCATTAAATTTTTCTTGATCTACCCAATCTCCAGCCATGTGATTTTTCTCCTCTGCCAAATGTCCAGCACTCTGTTATATTTGTGCCTCTTTAGTCATACCTGATCCTTTCTAAATGACGTACAACTTTTGTTTTCATTTTTATATTTCCTACTAGAATGTAGATTCCTTTATGCCAAGAACTAATGTGTGTTCTTTCATTTAATACAGAGCTTTGCATTTAATAAATAATATGTTTTTGCATCTGAATGAACGATAAGGAATTCAGCAGGGAAAGTAGCTTAACTTCAAAAGAGTTACAGGAAAAAGTATATAAATATAAGAAATGAGTCTTATGACCTATTTTTAGTTATGAAATGGACTAATTAGGGAAGGAATTTTAAATTGTGTGCACAGGTCTTTGGTTAATGCTTTTTATTTTATAGTATTTCAAAAGGTAGGTGTGCCTCTAATACTTTGTTTTGTTAATACATGAAAATTAACTCCCTCAGAAATTCTGTGTACCCTTTGTTACTGTTACTGAAAGGAATAAAAGTATCTCATGGCCTTTTAAAAAATATTCTGAAACATTTCAAAATAAGATTTTAAAAATTTAACCTTTTTTTGTTTTAATCAGTAAGAATTTTCTCATTTTGTATGGTTTCTTATTTTGGTACACTTATTGTTTCCTCCCTTCTCTTCAGGTATATGTATTTTACCAATCTTCAGGAAAGGTCTCCGAAAATTGAACGAGCTGCTTTGGATGGAACAGAACGGGAGGTTCTCTTTTTCAGTGGCTTAAGTAAACCGATTGCGTTGGCCCTTGATAGCAGATTGGGCAAGCTCTTCTGGGCTGATTCAGATCTCCGGCGAATTGAAAGCAGTGATCTCTCAGGTACCCAAGAAATATGTTTTCTTATTTTGATTGTAGTTATTGAGATGATTCATCAATGGTATTTGTATTTTTCTTCTATTGTATTATTTTTGTATACATTTTCTTTATAGTTTTATTTTCCAAAAGTAGTCAGCATCAAGATGGTTGGGAAGCACTTTTTTCTTCGACCATCAACACGATTACTCCTTCTGTTATCTAATAATTTGCCAATATTTTTCATTTGGGCTCTGTAAGTAATATATTTCTAATGAATCTCTTCTCCTTTCCTAATTCTTCTGCTCTAGTTTATGTTCTCATCATCTTTGTCCTGAATTTTAACCTATGATTCATCGCCTCCCTGATGCCTCCCACTGAAAGTTTATACACTATTCCTAGATGAATTTTCTGAAGCATGGTTTCTAATCATGTCACTACTGTACTAAAAATGTCTTCAGGGTAGTCTCATAGCATGAAGAAAAAGAAGTCTACATTTAAGTTGGTATTCACCTTTCACAAGCTCATCAGCACACTCTAATAATCTTAACATTCCTGGTGTTTTGTGGCTAAATCAAATCATTTGTTGGTTTTCAGATGTACTTTTACTTTCTCATTTCTTTGCAGTCCTCTGTCTACAATCATAGTTACTTCTCCCAACAAATATTTTGTGTGGCCTTACTAGTGATCATGAAAATGAAATTAAAATAATACTCTATTTATGTCTATCAGAGTGGCAAAAATATGTTAAAGTTGATTATACTGAACATTAGCGAGACTAGCAGAGAATGGCATGCTGTCATGCACTTTGGTAGAAGTGGAAATTGGTAGAACCTTTATGGAGGATAATTTGCCAATACATTTCCCTTTTAGATTGCTGCTTACAGAAATGCTGACCCAACTGTACAAGGGTATTTGATAAGCATTATTTGTAATAGCCTGTTACAGAGAAATGCATTCTATTGTATCAAGTGTGTGGAATATTATAGTCATTCCAGCAAATGAGGTAGATCTGTGTGCACTGAGGTGGAAGAATGGTTTTTAAAAATTAAGTTGTTTAGCCCTGACCGGCTTGGTTCGGGTTAGAGCGTTGGTCTGCGGACCAAAGTGTCGCAGGTTCGCTTCTGGTCAAGGGCACATACCTTGGTTGAGGTTCTGTTCCTGGCTCTGGTACGGGTCGAGGGTAGGGGTCAGTCGATGTGTTTCTCACACTGATGTTTCTCTCTCTCTGTCTCTCTGTCTCTCTCTCTTTATCTCTCTCTCTCCCTCTCCTTCTCTTCCTTCCCCTCTATCTGAAGATAAATGGAAAAATATCCTCGGGTGAAGATTGAAAAATAAATAAATAAAAATTGTTTATTTAAATCTGATTTTGTTTAAAATTTAATAATATATATAGTATATTTATTGGCAAATTATCCTCAAAAAATATTTATACTGCCCTGGCTGGTTTGGCTCAGCAGTTAGAGCATCAGCCCATGGACCAGAGAAACCCAGGTTCGGTTCCCACTAAGGGCATGTACCTCAGTTGTAGTTCGTCCCTGGTCCCTGTTGGGGTCATGTGGGTGGCAACTAGTTGATGTGTCTCTCTCACACTGATGTTTCTCTCTTTCTCTCTCTTCCTCCCTCTCTCCCTCCTGTTCTATCTCAAGATAAATGCAAAAATGTCCTCAGATGAGGATAAAAAAAAAAATTTATATACATATACATATATTATATACACACACACACTATATAGATATAAAGTCAAGAAATATGGGTATATATGTTTGTATATTTCTTGAGAAATACACAAATAAATATACCTTGAGAAAGATCTAAAAGATTAATATACTAATGTGTTGAGTATTTATTTCTGTATTATTTGAATTTTTATATGTTTGAATACATTTGTAATTCTTTTTTAAAACTAAAAAAATATTCTGTTTTTTTAGGTTCAAATGCTTTTGTTTCATTTACTTTGTCTGATTTTAAAAGTCATGCACACACTTTGGCTTGTGTGTGCATATTTACCTAGCCTGAAATATTCTTTTTCTCGTCTGATCACTTTATCTCTTATATCACCTTTAATTTGTATAATTGTTCTTTATATCAATGTTTTAATTCTTATTCGCATTGAAGAGATTTCCCCCCACTTTTCTCTGGTTCTCATTTATGATGCTCATTTTTGTTATGAGTAACACATGTTCATTACAGTTTTTAAAATATAAAAAAGAAAAATATCCATAACATTATTATTATTTAACCCGAGTGATTTAACTTTTTTTTTCCTATGTGTTTTTTTCCCCACCCTTAATTGCTAAATGGTTCCAGCATGGAGAAAGCACACAGTTCCTGCCACTCAGTTTTGTCAGTTGTTAGTCTTCAGCCATATTTATTTTTGAACCTCGCTTCCTCCTCCTCTCCCTTGAAATAAAACATTGGAGAGAATTTTGAAGCCATTGTGTTCTCTCCCCAAATTTGTTCTGAATAAAGAATTTCTAGAAATCAGCAATAGAAAAATGAGCAAAGACTATGAGTAAGCCATTCAGAGAAGAAACATAAAGGACCAATAAATTACCCTCCATATCAAATGGGGAAATGCAAATTTTATTAATAATGAAATATACTTCTAAAATATTGGACTGGTAATAATTTAGAAGTCTGACAATACCAAATGACAATTCTCATTATACTTCTGGTGGGGATTTTAAATTGATGTAATCACTTTGGTGAGCAATTTGGATATATCTGTTCAAATTGAATCTGTGTATACCAGATTACATAGCAATTCCACTACTGTGTTTAGGCCATGGAGATGTGTTCAGATGTGTGACATTATCTGAAGTTCTTTTCTTTTGGATAACTCAGGTTTTTTGTTTGGTCATTGGTGGTGGTGGTTTGTTTTTCCTGTAGGGAATCCTTCTGGTCTTCTCCGGGAGGAATTAAAGCTGGATGCTAGTGTTTTTGGAGTCTAGTGGGAGAAGGGTGTTGGGGAGAGCCTCACCAATTATGAAGTACACTTTCAAGTAATTCCCCAGTTACATCCTATGTATGGCACTGCCTCTCTGTCTTTGCCTGGTATATGAAAGCTTCGTTTAACCTCTTTAGGGAGTTTATCTTCAATCTTCTGCTAGAGGGGAGAGGAGACCCAGAAGCTGCCTTACTTCTTGTGCATATTTTCAGTTAGTACTCTTTTAGCCTCAGTTGCATAACTTCTCCTTTTGCTCCATCCGAAAATACCTGGTGATTCTAGTTTGTAAGCTAACTGATTTTGCTGTTGGCTTCACTAACTGCAGGCATTTAGCTTTCTCTGGGCTACTGTGTTATTATCTCTGATTTATCTATTCTCTGGCTTATAAATTTTATGTCACTCTGCTCCTCTGTCCTGTTTGTCTTTATGGGTTTATACCTTAAATTTTCACCACCATGTTAATAGATTTTTAGGAGGGAGCATAAGTAAACTTGTATTTAAACCACCATCAATCTGAATATTGACTTAGGCAGCACCTTTTCACCCGGACTATCTTGCCTCTCTTCTGGAACTTGCCCTGATATTTTCAAAGTATAAGCTAATGGCTTTTTGATTGCACTTAGGAACCATGAAAATATTCTATAGATATGTGAAAGACTATTGGGAGGAAGAGAAAAGGAACGAATGTATTTTTTCTTTTTAAAGTGGTGGGGAGTGGGGGCACAGATTTCAACACACTGTGAAAGAACTCTCTTACAGTGCAGCAACAGATTAGGTTGCTTCTTCAGTGTCCAGATACTCTGTGTCTGTCATGTAGAAATAATTCTTACTTTGAGCTGAGGGTTGAACCAGGCAGATCTTGACTAAGTCATGTTTTTTGTGTCCTGAGTGGGGTGAGGGTGAAGTTCTCCACAGGTGCCGCAGGTGTGCTCAGTGAGAGGCGCAGGCCAGGCGCCCTGGGCTCACCACTGCCGCCCCATCCCGAGAGGTACCGACTGATCTGTTTTTATATGTTAGAGCTTTTCACAGAATTTAATTTGAAAAATGGACTCAGCTTTTAAAAACATTGACAACTGCTCTGAGTTTTTTTCTACATTTCTGTGAATTAGAATATTTACTAGGTATTGGGCACATACTTGCTCTTGACTGTACTTAAATGTCTAGTGTATTGCCTGTTTTCTGGTACATATATGGCTTTTCTTCCAAAAATGATTCTGAAGTTTTGTGGTAGAGAGTTTATATTTTCCTTTTCAGAACTTTTAGAATCTGATGTTTTTTCAATAAATAAGTGTTAAATATATGACTTGACCCACGTGAATTATTTCTGGTGAATGTTCTTTCCAAGGTGCCAACCGGATAGTATTGGAAGACTCGAATATCTTGCAGCCTGTGGGACTAACTGTGTTTGAAAATTGGCTCTATTGGATTGATAAGCAGCAGCAAATGATTGAAAAAATTGATATGACAGGTCGAGAGGGTAGAACCAAAGTCCAGGCTCGAATAGCCCAACTTAGTGACATTCATGCTGTAAAGGAGCTGAACCTTCAGGAATATAGTAAGTGCTGATGGTGTACTGCTAATTGTTGGATTTGTGTTTGTTGTAAGAAGTTAAGATAAAATTAAGATATTCTTTTGTGTCTTTTACTGCTTTATCTTGAAGATTTTCATATACTTTTATTTAGTTTTGCCATTTCTTTAACTCCATGCTTTTATTTTTATTTTTTATTTTTTTATCCTCACCCAAGGACACTTTTTCATTCTTTGTTCAGATAGAGCAGGAGGGAGAGAGAGAGAGAGAAACATCGATGTGAAAGGGACACATCGAGTGGCTGCCACCCGCACGACCAACCAGGGCCGGGGACAAACTGCAACCGAGGTACATGCCCTTAGTGGGAACCGAACCCGGGTCTCTCTGGACCGCAGGCCGACGCTCTAACCGCTGAGCCAAACCGGCCAGGGCTAACTCCATGCTTTTAAAGCCTTTTTATTAAACTCACCTGGGAGCTTTTTCAGATTAAACATCTTTTCCTCATAAAACAGGAATGGGGAAAGCAAGGATCTTGCTCATTTTCAGAAATGTCCTCAGGTACAGCAAAGGCTCTGCTTGTCATGCCCTCTCTCCTTCAGCCCCTGTGAGAATGCTGATATAAAGCATGTATTTCTTTTGTTCCCTGTACACCCCATAGTTCGAACAAAAGCAAAAATTACATTTGTGTAATGATGAATATAGTTATCATGGAATAACTTTATTCTTGAGCAAAAGCAAAACAAATAAAAATTAGTGTGTAAACTTAGAGAATTCTGTGCTTTAATAAGTGCTTGGTTTTTTTCCCCTCTTGATAAAGTTTTCAATTTTCAACTTGGAAAAGGAGCCATAAATATTCTTTGTATCTTATTGAAAACCTTTGAAAATGTCTGATCATCTTGGCCTACTTTTTTATTAATAGGTGTCTGTAATCAGAAGTACCCTCATAGCAATAACTACTGTAGGTCTTACATGGTTGTACCAGGAATGTTAATGTTAAATAGAAGACTAAAGAGAGAATTATTGAAACCCCCTTTCAGCACAATGCTTTTCAATCAAATCAGAATATGAAAGGAGAGTGGAGGAATGAGATCATTTCTTGTCTGACTCTTCATTATGTTGTCACTGTTTATGAACTTAGAAGTTAAGTTTAGAAGTATTTAAGAATTAGAAAGTTAGAATTGTTGCCATTCTATGTTACGATATCTAACTCGTGCTGAACATTTAATAGGAATAAATAATAATGACAGTACCTAAGTTATTTATTCAGTTGATACAAGATCTTTATTGAGGCTTTCAGAATTTCCTGAGGGGTGGGAACTATATTTAAATATAGTTTTATATCTGGAAAAACATTAAAAATTTTTTCCTAATAACATTAATTAAAGAGAATAAGATTTCTGTTTATCAAAAGTATCATGGAATTAGTTCTGGCCAGTTTGGCTTAGCAGTGAGAGAGTTGGACCAAGGGCCAAAGGGTCTTGGGTTTGATTCCTAGTCAAGGGCACAAACCTCGGTTGCAGGTTAGATTCCCTGCCCCAGTCAGGGTCGTGTAGGAGGCAACCAATCGATGTGTTCACTCATACTGATGTTTCTCTCTCTTCCTCACTCCCTTCTGCTCTGAGAATCAATGGAAACATCCCACGGTGAGGATTAACCCCCCCCCAAAAAAGGTGTCATGGAATTAAAGGTTGAGAAATATTACCATATAGTTTGTGTATCCTAATCGAATGACTGATACCTGATTTCGGACATTGATGTCATATAACATAGCTGCTCATTGGTGGAAGTAGCTGACTCCCTCAGTTTCATCAGCACACACCAAAGTAGGACTGATGTGTTAGTGAAGAGTTAGGTAACAAATGGGTGTCTACGTCAGATGTTGGTATTCTGTGGTGACGGATGTTGAGTTGCTTTAACAAAGCTAAGTAGAAAATTCATAGCACTGATTTCATTAAATACAGCCTGTGAGACAGACTTTGAATAGTTGCCAGATAGTGTATTTAACCCAAATATGAGGAAATGAAATATTTTTAACATTGCAGATTATTATTATTATTTTTTTATCCTCACCCGAGGATACTTTTCCATTTTTTGTACAGATAGAGTGGGAGGGAGAGAGAGGAAGAGAGAGAGAGAGAGAAACATCGACGTGAAGGGATACATCGAGTGGCTGCCACCCGCACGACCAACCAGGGCCGGGGACAAACTGCAACCGAAGTACGTGCCCTTAGCGGAAACCGAACCCAGGTCTCTCCGGACCGCAGGCCAACGCTCTAACCGCTGAGCCAAACTGGCCAGGGCAAGATTATTTTTTTTAATTGATTATAGAGAGGGAAGGGAGAGGGAGGAAGAGAGAGAGAAACATCTCTCGGCTACCTCCTGTACACCCCCTACTGGGAATCGAACCATACCCCTGGTATGTACCCTGATGGAATCAAACCCATCTTTTGGTGCATGGGATGACAACCAAATGAACCACACTGTCCAGGGTGTATTGCAGGTTATCCTTTGCATTTGACCAAGCAAGTAACTTTTATTGTTTCTGATCCATGTGAACTTAAGCTTTTTCTTATAACAACTCTAATTTTCAGTGAATTCTTTATTAAAATATACTTTCTGAGTAAAGTCATCTTATCTTTTAGAAAGGTAGAATTTCTAATTTAAAATCTCTAGTTTAGAAGAGTTTTTGTATATTAAATAGAACAGTATCCGGGTCTCAGCATTCTCCCTATAAATTTTTTTAGTTTCAATAATCAGCTTTTGTTATTCGCAAAATTAACATGAGCTGTATCATTACCTTGCTTAAAATACTTTAAAATATTTTTATATAAATATGTAAAAGATAGTGTTTTGTGTTTTTCAAGTATTGTCCTCATTTTCTTGTAGATTGTGTAGGGATGAAGAAAGGAATTATGTGCGTGGAAATAAAGTCCAAGATGATTTTACATTTGGTTTCCTTGGGAATCAATAAATGATTGATTTTTTTTTTTTACTGGGCTGTCCTCCCTTTCTTCCTTTCTTTCTTCGCAGGACAGCACCCTTGTGCTCAGGATAATGGTGGCTGTTCACATATTTGTCTTGTAAAAGGAGATGGTACTACAAGGTGCTCTTGCCCCATGCACTTGGTTCTGCTTCAAGATGAGCTGTCATGTGGAGGTAAATATGTTATCGTTTTCCTGTATGGGTCTAAATGACAATTAACATGTTCCATAACTTAAGTTAATTCAACTGAAGGAGAAAAACAGTTCTCTGCAGTCACAGAAATTTAAAAATAATCTGATTTCTAATGATAGGAAAATTATTAGGTAACTGAGTTTATATAGTTATTAAACATTATGATCATAAGCTGATGTAAAAATGTAGCCCAAAAAATCAGCGTTTTCTACTATAACAGGTACATAAAATACATTTTCTGTGAACAAAGATTGAAAGGGCTTATATACTCAAAATAAATTTTAAAAAATCATTGAGAAGATGGTATTGTAAGATTATTTTATTCTAACTTTCCTAAGTTTTAAAAAAACAAATAATATGTATTGGGTAGCAACCATGAGGCATTCTACTTATATTGTAAGAGATTTGAAGATCAGCTATATATTGGCGTGTATCAGTATTTTTCTTTGTTACTTCTCTGATTGGAAGAGATGGATTACAAATTTGATCTGTTATAAAGTGTTTTGTATATGTTTATTATTAAATGAGCTTCACTCAGGTGTATATACCTCTGTGACAATTATTTTGTTTTTGTCACTCCCCTCCCCCTTGTTCATTGAAGAACCCCCAACATGTTCTCCTCAGCAGTTTACTTGTTTCACGGGAGAAATTGACTGTATCCCTGTGGCTTGGCGGTGCGATGGGTTTACTGAGTGTGAAGACCACAGTGATGAGCTCAATTGTCCTGTATGCTCAGAGTCCCAGTTCCAGTGTGCCAGTGGGCAGTGTATTGATGGTGCCCTCAGATGCAATGGAGATGCAAACTGCCAGGATAAATCAGATGAGAAGAACTGTGAAGGTATCTAAAGATTTTAAGACTTGGTTATATAGTCCTTTTCCCATTAAGTTGTTTGCAGTTCAGAGTGGAGTGTTGCTTTGGCTCAGTGGTAGATTTGGGGTTTTCAAGATTTTATTATAATGTCTAAACATAGTAACATGTTCTAAATTGTTGTTTTAATTCACTTAGTATGCATAAGGTTTATACACATGAATAAGATTAGCAGAGGAATAAGGCCAAAAGAACGTCAGTATGTAAAAATAGTACTTTTTCCCAGTGAACTCTGAATTAGTGAATTTTTCTTTCATTGTAAAATAATTTTATTACTTTTTTTTCCCCACTAACCATTAACATGATATAAAACAAACAAAATTTTTGGAATTCTATAGTGTCTAAAAATGCATGTAGAATTAATTCTTAACAAAATTATTAGTGAATGATTAAATTTAACGTGAAGAACAAAATAGGAAATTTCCTGCTGTATTACCTTTTCCTTCTACCAACGAAAATCTGAGAGTAATTTTTAAGCTATATCTAGAAGTCTAATTTGTTTTCATTTGCACCCACAAAGTACTTTTTGACTTGCTTAGTATTTGGCTTTACCCTATAGTAAAAATAAGAAAACTATTTGCCTTTTTCCCCAGTGCTTTGTTTAATTGATCAATTCCGCTGTGCCAATGGTCAGTGCATTGGAAAACATAAGAAATGTGATCATAATGTGGACTGCAGTGACAAATCAGACGAAGTGGATTGTTGTAAGTAGGACTGAAACCTGTGTGTTTCTCTTAAGGGAGAATTTTTAAAATACGTTTTTTTTTATATGTGAGGTTCACTTATAATCACTGTTTCCTTATTAAGAAATACATATTAATGGTAAACTAGGAATTGTTTATGTTCTGCTTTTAATTCCTTAAAAGAGCAGTTTTGTTATGCACAAAAATCTTCACGGAAACTTTTAGTAAAGCATCAGAAAAGAAGAAATATTGTTTTGCCACAACTAAAGTTAAGAAATGTGATCATAAAGTTAAGAAATTCTGAAACAATTTACAGGCATACCATGGACATATTGCGGGTTCGGTTCCAGGCCACTGCAATAAAACGAATATTGCAATAAAGCAAGTCAAACTAATTTTTTAGTCTACTATGCATATAAAAGTTTGTTTATACTATAATGTAGCCTGTTAAATGTGCAATAGCATCATGTCTTTAAAAGCAATGTACATACCTTAATTTAAAAAATAGTTTATTGGCGGGATATACAAACGGCCAAGAGACATGAAAAAATGCTCAATGTCACTAATCATCAGAGAGATGCAAATTGAAACGATTGTGAGGTATCACCTCACACCTGTCAGAATGGCTGCCATCAACAAATCATCAAACAAGTGCTGGCGAGGCTGTGGAGAAAAGGGGACTCGGGTACACTGCTGGAGGGAATGCAGACTGGTGGAGCCACTATGGAAAACAGTATGGTGTTTCCTCAAAAAATTAAAAATGAAACTGCCATTTGATCTAGTGATGCCACTCCTAGGAATATATCCTAAGAAGCTTGAAACACCAGTCAGAAAAAAATATACGTACCCCTATGTTCATAGCAGCACTATTTACAGTTGGTAAGATCTGGAAACAGCCCAAGTGTCTATCAATAGATGAGTGGATAAAAACGCTGTGGTACATGTACACAATGGAACACTATGCAGCAGGGTTGCTACAAACCTTCAGTTTGTAAAAAAACACCAAGTCTGTGAAGCACGGTAAAGTGAAGAATGCTAAAACGAGGTAGGATTGCAGATATGTGGAACTCAATCAGCGGTCTAAACTTGAGTTTCTGAACATTAGTCCATGTTTAACATCTCCAGTTTTTTTCTTGACATGATTCCACCAGTCTCTCAGTGACTTTAAGAGCTTCCTTGACCTGCCCAGCTCAGTTGGTTAGAGTGTCGTCCATATACACCAAGGTTGTGGGTTTGACCCCCCGGTCAGGGCACATATAAAAATCAACCAGTGAGTGCATAAATAAGTGGAACAAAAAAATCAATGTTTCTCTCGCTCTCTCTTTCAAATCAATTAAAAAAAAAAAAAAAGTGCCCTGGCCAGTGTGGCTCAGTTGGTTGGGCATCGTCCCATTCACTCAGGAAGTTGCCAGTTTGATTCCTGGTCAAGGGCATATTCCCAGGTTATGGGCTTGATCTTGGTAGGGGCTGTGCAGGAGGCAGCTGATCAGTGTTGTGTTTTCATATCATTGTTTCCCTCCCTCCCTCCCTTTCCCTTCCTCTCCTCTCTAAAAATCAATAAAAAACTGTATTTAAAAAAAGAGTTTAAAAAAAAGAGCTTCCTTAAAATGCATCCTAGGCAGTATTCCAGATATTGCAGAGTCAACGAACAACTTAAGTAAAGGACTGGCATGGCTGCGTAATTGTGAAGGCTGTAAAGCAGATGGGGGAGGTGGTAAGATGGTAAGCAGGGAAATCTGTTAGACTGGTTGCGTTCAAACTTTTTTGACCAAATCAAAAGGATGCAAAGACACGGGTGTGCACTAAACAAATATGTCATACAACAGTATTTATCCATACTAGGTAGGTATTTTCTGTTTTAAAATGCTAGTTTCAACCCACTAAATTGTTTTCACCATCTAATAACTTAAAGCCTATTACTTTTTTTTAGGATTTAAATTTTATTATTTTCCTTAAAACAGCACACTTGGCCCTGGCCGGTTTGGCTCAGCGGTTGGAGCATCGGCCTGCGGTCCCGAGAGACCCGGGTTCGGTTCCCGCTAGGGGCATGTACCTCGGTTGCAGTTTGTCCCTGGCCCTGGTTGGGTTGTGTGGGTGGCAACCACTCGATGTGTCCCTTTCATGTCGATGTTTCTCTCTCTCTCTCTCCCTCCCACTCTATCTGAACAAAATATAAAAAAAAAAAAAACACAAAAAACAGCACACTTATAACTTATACTATGTTTAACATATTTTGAGTGTCCAAAAATGGATCACTGGCATTAAACATCCATGCTTAGTGCTTAAAAGTCAACTGCCTATAATTAAAATGCTTAGGAGACCATTGTAGTTCAGGCAGAAGATGATGAAGATCTAAATCATGAGGAGCAGCGGTGGTAGAAACATAGCTTTCAGAGTTGTTTTGGAAATAAAATAAAAAGGGCTTGATGCCCTGGCTGGTTTTGTGCTCAGTGGTTAGAGCATCAGCCTGCAGTCCAGAGAGATCCAGGTTCAGTTCCCACCACATACCTCGGTTGGGGTCATGTGTGTGGCAACCACTCAATGTGTCTCTCTCACATTGATGTTTATCTCTCTCTCTCTCTCTCTCTCTCCTGCTCTGTCTGAAGATAAATGCAAAAATGTCCTCTGGTAAGGATTTTTTAAAAAAGGACTTGGTAACCATTGAGATATAGTTGATAAGTTTAAGTTGACACACAGATACCTCATTGAATGACTGGAGTCACTAACTGGAATATATAGCAGGGACTGAAAAGTGAAGTGCCATTGATGTAGGTTTATTTATTACTTTATTTTTGTTTTTAATTTAATTTAAATGCCTTTAATTTGCCAAGAGTGCCTCATTTATGTATGGTCTGCTTTACCCCTGGCATCTAGGAAACATTACCAATGCTGGAGACAGTGTGTTCCGTTCGAACATGTTGCATTAAAGTCGCCCATGGGCTGTCCCGCTAAAGCTGTTCTGAAAGTTGTTGACCATATGGATCTGTAGCTCAAGAGAGATTTGGGCCCTTCCATTTATTAATGATAATTAAAGCAGAGGCAGTGAATGAAATCTCCTAGTGAGAGTTAAGTAGAGGAGGAAAATAGCGGGGGAGGGGGATAGACAGAACTCTGGGAACCACCTGTACTTAGGAGGCAGGCAGAAGAGAAGGAAGCCAGCAAGAGGAAGTAGAATAGTCAGATATAGGATAGGGGAACTAAGAGAGTGGTATCTTGAAAGGATATTGATCAGACTTTTTTTTTTTTTTTTTTATCCTCACCCAAGGACATTTTTCCATTTTTTTGTTCAGACAGTGTGGGAGGGGGAGAGAGAGAAACATCAACGTGAAAGGGACACATCAAGTGGCTGCCATCCGCATGACCAACCAGGGCTGGGGACAAACTGCAACCGAGGTACGTGCCTAAACCCGGGAACTCTCTGGACTGCAGGCCGACTCTAATCGCTGAACCAAACCGGCCAGTGCTTAATCAGACATTTTTGAGGAAGACAAGAGCCAGTAGTATTGAAAGTATAGAGAGACCAGAGAGATGAAAGGTTCATTGAATATGGCAAATAGGAGAGTGTTGACCTTTGGCACACTACTTTCAGTGTGTTGTTGAGGATAGAAGCCCAATTTCAGTGAGTCAGGATGTGACCCGGAGAATAAGAATAGTGAGTGTAAACTTTTCTTCTTGAAGCATGACATTAGAAAGGAATGTCAGGGCACTAAAGGGGTAAGAAAGATGAGGTGGTTGCTCACAGGACCGAGGAGAATCTGTGCCTCTGAGACCATACATGAAATATGTAACTGGCAGCTCCTGCGTATTGTGTAACTTAGTGATGTTATTTTCTCTCATTTATTGTATCCGTCAGAGGTTGAGTTTAGTTGTTATATGGATGGGAAATTTGAGGTAAGATGAAGCAGAGCAAAGGTTTTTAGAAAATTTTTTAAATGTGTTTTCATTGATTTTTTTTTTTTTTTTAAGAGAGGAAGGGAGAGAGAGAGAAAGAAACATTGATGTGAGAGAGAAACATCGATCGGCTGCCTCCTGCATGCCCCTCACTGTGAATTGAGCCCGCAACCCGGGCATGTCCCCTGCCCGGGAATCAAACCAGGACCTCTCAGTCCATGGGACAACACTCAATCCACTGAGCCACACTGGCCAGGCAGAACAGAGGTCTTTAAAGGATCTGTAGTTGTAAGTTATAATCTGACTATTCAGAAGGGATGAATTTTCCTTCTAAATTAAAGAGTAATGCTCTAAATTGGATAAGCCCTTCTGTTCTTTTTCTCTACCTCTAATATTGATGCCCTGTGCTTCTGCAGCATCATACCTCAGGGATCCCATGAAGGTGGGTGCCATGGGCAGGATCTTCCTACATGCTCTGGCTTTCTTTCTGAGTCCTCAAGTACTCAAGTATCAGAGGCCTGTTCCTTGCTCTCAGGCAACTAGACTCACCCTGAAAGCAGCAGCTTATTGAGCCTGAGAGCTAATGCCCATCTTTAGCCTCTGATTTCCTTTCGCCAGGCCTAAATGTCACTTCTCAAATCTAAAATCAAGCTCAGGGTTGCTTTGGCTTTCCCATTCCAAGTAAAACATGTAATGACTTTTCTAGGTTCATCCCTCTGACTCTAAAATTTATTCTGAGATTCCAAAATAAATTTGTTGATTTTTATGATACACAGAATGAAGTAGGATAGATTTTATATATTTTTTTTAACTTCTTGATGGAGTTTAACTATAATTAATTTAACATTTTTAAGTCATTTACAGTGTTTCCCAATGTATTATTTCTGTTTTCACTTAAGGATAGTTCCTTTGATTCCTAGTGATAACATTTACCCATAATCCATGGGGCGTCATGTATGTATTCATAAAAAAGAAAACTGTTTATAAGTTGTCTGCATTAACTTCACACTCTGCTCGCGAGCCCTTTTCTTGAGTACTACTTTGATTCTGCAGTTGTTTTTCATTATATACCTGTACTGCCTTCCCATTTCAGATCCAACTGAGGAGCCAGCACCACAGGCCACCAATACAGTTGGTTCAGTTATTGGAGTAATTGTCACTATTTTCGTGTCTGGAACCATATACTTTATTTGCCAGAGAATGTTGTGTCCACGTATGAAGGGAGATGGAGAAACCATGACTAATGACTATGTAGTTCATGGACCAGCTTCTGTGCCCCTTGGTTATGTGCCACACCCAAGCTCTTTGTCAGGATCTCTTCCAGGTGAGTTAAGACTAATCCATTGAGAACCAAGTCTTGGGTCCTAGCAAGAAACTCAAGTTTCCATAATTGAAACAGGATACTGTGCAGAGTCTCATTCAAACTAGACCATTTTGGATTTTAAAACTATAAGAACAGATGTTCTCTTTTACTTTCAGCACCTTCTCTCTACACAAAAGACCTGAGGTATGGTTGGTAGAAATGACTAAAAGATATAAAGAATATACATATGCGCTTTGGCCGGTTTGTTTTTTTTCTTTCAGGTTTATTTTATTTTATTTTATTTCTTTAGGCATATAAATTCTTTGGTTTATTTCCTCCCACCCCCCCAACCCCCTTCTCTTTGAGGTTTGTCAGTCTAGCAACCAATTTGTTCTTCTTAATCCCTTCACCTTTTTCACCCATTCCCCCAACCCTCCTCCCATCAGGCAACCAACAAAATGTTCTCTATATCTATGAAAATGTTTCTCTTCTGCCTGTTCATTTTGTTTGTAGATTCCATTGTCGATAGATATGTATTCATTGCCATTTTGTTTGTTCATATATTTTATCTTTTTCTTGAAAAAGACTCTTCAACATTTCATATAATAACGGTTTGGTGGTGATGAACTCCTTTAACTTTTTCTTGTCTGGGAAACTCTTTATATGGCCATCGATTCTAAATGACAGGTTTGCAGGATAGAGTAGTCTTGGTTGTAGGTTCTTGCTTTTCATCACTCTAAATATTTCTTACCAGTCCCTTCTGGCCTGCAAAGTTTCTGTTGAGAAATCAGCTGACAGTCTTGTGGGAACTCCCTTGTAAGTGACTAACTGCTTTTCTCTTGCTGCTTTTAAGATTCTCTCTTTGTCTTGAGCCTTTTGCATTTTGATGATGATGTGTCTTGGTGTGGGCCTCTTGAGGGTCATCTTGTTTGGGACTCTCTGTGCTTCCTGGACTTGTATGTCTGTTTCCTTAACCAATTTAGGAAAGTTTTCTGCCATTATTGTTTCAAACAGGTTTTCGATTTCTTGTTCTCGCTCTTCTCCTTCTGGCACCCCCAAGATGCGAATGTTGGCACGCTTGAAGTTGTCCCAGAGGCTTCCTCACACTATCCTCATTTTTTTGGATTCTTTTTTCTTTTTGCTGTTCTGATTGGGTGTTTTTTGCTTTCTTGTATTCCAGATCAATGGTTTACTTTCTTGGCTTTAGCTACTCTACTATTGAATCTGTGTAAATTATTCTTTATTTCAGTTAGTGCCTCCTTCATTTCTGACTGGTCTTTTTAATGCCCTTGAGGTCCTCACTAAGTTTATTGAGCATCCTTATAAGCAGTATTTTGAACTCAGCATCTGTTAGGTTGCTTATCTCCATTTCACTTAGTTCTTTTCCTGGAGTTTTGTTCTGTTTTTTCATTTGTGACCTGTTTCTTTGTCTCCTCATTTTGGCTGCCTCTCTGTGTTTGTTTCTGTGTATTACTTAACGAGAGGGATGGGGCTATCTGAGACCAGATGCTGCTTGTTTGAAAGAATTTAGGAAAAACCTGAAGCAGGATCCAAAACAGGCCAATCCTATGGTTAAGCAACTGGCAATAGCTTGGGCGGGCCTGAAAGTTGGGTGGGGTGGGGCGGGGCAGGACAGGGGCCTCAGGGAATCACCAGGGCGGGGCTACCAGTATGAACCAGGTTGCTGGAGTCCCAGGTATGGCGTCTGTCTGCTGCCCCAGGGCAGGTCTCATCAAAGGAACAAAGGCCTCTGACAGCACGTCTGTCCCAGAGAAAGCCCCCTCTCCAGCCCTCGCTCCAATGCCAAACAGCTCACTTCTTCCCTGTATGTCTCTGGCGCCCCTTGAGCTGCCTCCCCTTGAGCTGCCTCCCCTTCAAGCTTAGAGGGAGCAAGTCCGAGTAAGTCTGTGCGTGGGCCCTTTAAGGAGCTGCCTGGGGCTCCAGCTGCCTCAGTCTCCCTAAGCCTCAGTTTCCGCTGCTTTTTCCAGCCAGAAGTTATGGGGACTTCTCTTCCTGGCACTGGAACCCTGAGCTGGGTGCCTGGTGTGGGATGGGGACCCCCTCAGACCTCAGGGTGTCCTCCTGATTTTTATCTGCCACATGTGGGTGTGGGACCAGCCCTCCACCTCCACCCCTCCTACCCATCTTGATGCGGCTGCTGCTTTAATTCCGTAGTTGGAGGACTTCCATTCAGCTGGATTTTAGGCGGTTTTGAATGATGGTTCTGTAGTTTAGTTGTAACTTTGATGTGGTTGTGGGAGGACAGGATACTACGTTTACCTACGCTGCCATCTTCGCTTTGGCCGGTTTGGCTCATTGGTTAGAGTGTTGTTGGCCTGCTGTCTTTAGAGAATCGGGTTTGGATCCCGCTAAGGGCATGTACCTTGGTTGCAGTTTGTGCCCGGCCCTGGTTGGGTCCTGTGGGTGGCAGCCACTCGATGTGTCCCTTTCACATCAATGTTTCTCTCTCTCTCTCCCTCCCACTCTATCTGAACAAAAGATGGAAAAATATCCTCGGGTGAGGATAATAAAAAATATATATATATACATACATACATATGCAAGCACTATGTATACTGCATATGCTGCATTTCTGGATGCACTCTGCTGAAAGTGAATCAAGTAGTCATTTAGTGAAAAATCGTAAACTACAGTTCTTTAGGTTCACTACCAACCTCAGTACTACTGAGCCCAGGAATTAGAGGAGGCCAGAAAATAGACTAAGATTTCTTTTCAGGAAACAGAGATTTGGAAATAGCTGGGTGATCACAGGGAGGGATATAGTGTCTTATATTTTCTCCTAATGTTAAGTGATGATAGTGGGACGAGGGTGTATTCAGGCAAAGCCAAGCAGCCAGAAGTTCTGGACTTGGGTAGACCAGATCGATGTAGAGGAGCACTGCTTTTTTAGTGCTTTCTGGTACCCATGGTGTAAGGAGGTTCTAAGAAAAATCCCTCTGAAAATAAGAACTTATTCTGCATGTAACTAAGTAAAGAGATATGATTTTTAAACTGTTAATGATTCTGTGTTGCCATACCTATTTGTAGTTAGTGGAATTTAGGAAGTCACTTGGAGAAAATAGGAATTCTTTAGCATTCGTGGTTGTGATTACAATATTTGCATGCAGTAGCTAAAGAAATAATCTTCCAGCCCTGGCCAGTTTGGCTCAGCGGTTAGAGCATCGGCCTTTGGACCAAAGAGTCGTGGGTTCATTTCTGGTCAAGGGCACATAACCTCGGTTGCAGTTCGTCCCTGGCCCTGGTCAGGGTCGTGCAGGAGGCAAGCAGTTGATGTGTCCTTCTCATGTCGAAGTTTCTCTCTCTCTCTCCCTCCCTTCCACTCTATCTGAAGATAAATGGAAAAATATCCTTAGGTGAGGATAAAAAAAAGAGAGAGAGAGAAATAATCTTTCCGCCCAGCTGGTGTGGCTCAGTGGTAGAGCATCGACCTGGGCACCAAGCGGTCACTGGTTCAATTTCCTGGACAGGGGACATGCCCAGGTTGTGGGCCAAATCCCCAGTGGAGCATGTAGGAGGAGGTGGCCAGTCGATGTTCTCTCTCATCAGTGTTTCTATCTCTCTCTCTAAAGTCAGTAAAGAAAAGGGGAAAAAAAGAAATAATCTTCCATACATTGTATTTTTGCCCTTAAAAATGGGTTTAGTTTCCTTTTCAGCAAATCTGTTGTTAGTCTGCCCTGTTCCACAACCTTCACTCTCCATAGCCCTTTCTTTCTCAGATCCTCTAAGAGTTAAAAAAAAAAAACCCTCTCATTTTATCTCAATTTGAAGAGCTCTGCTTCTGTCCTGGGCAGGGGGGCTGGGAGCTTTCCTTGGACCTGTTGCAAGCCAGTTCTCAATGGAAGTGTTCCCTGTCAGAGAGCATTCATTCTTATTCTCCATTAAATATTTTCAATGACTATTAGAAAAAGGGGGCATAAATTGTTTAAAAGTCAAACTTGGTGACTGTTTCATCGCTCTTACTCATCTTCAGTATCTATCCTTCATTTCAGGAATGTCTCGAGGTAAATCCATGATCAGCTCCCTCAGCATCATGGGGGGAAGCAGTGGACCCCCCTATGACCGAGCTCACGTCACAGGAGCATCATCAAGTAGTTCTTCAAGCACCAAAGGCACTTATTTCCCTGCAGTGAGTAGTCTGGTTTCTTTTGTTTCACTTTGAATGCTGAGATACGTAGGATCTTAGATTGTTGGTTCACTCAAATGTGGGTATTCCGTGATGGTAATGTAAAAAGTTTTTTAGTATAGAATTCAGGCATTTAAGGTTCAAAGAAGGCTTTACCATCACCATGTGAGTACTTGTAACTCTCTTTGTGTTTGTGTAGTAACCAGCATATTTGAAAGCACTGGACATTAATTTCTGTCTAGGTAAATGTACCTCCTGAGAGGCTTAGGACCTTCATTCTATGACCTCCCAAGAGGAAGCACATGGTATTTTTTTTCTAAGTCAGTAATTGTTCTTTAAACAATTATAAGTTTTTAAAAAACAAAACCCAGCGATACTGAACTTAAACTAGTGACTTGAGAGTATAGATTTTCTTTCATCACCGTACGCTGTTTAGCCATGATGAAACTGTTAAGGAGCAGAGAGCTGCAAGCCTGAGGTCACCTCTCTGGAGAGGAGGGATTGTGCTAATAGTGTTATGGGAAAGAACGAGCGGAGATGGAAGAAGAGAAGTGGAAAGAAAGTCTGATAGTCTCTGTCTGGGATAGACCATTATTGTTTTAATCATTTCATTACTTTTCCTTTTAGATTTTGAATCCTCCACCATCTCCAGCCACGGAGCGATCGCATTACACTATGGAATTTGGTTATTCTTCCAACAGTCCTTCCACTCATAGGTCCTACAGGTAATACATATCTTCCTCTAGTGTAAATTGGAGTACGTATTAGATGGACGGAGTATTAGCCCTGGCCAGTTTGGTTCAGCGGTTAGTGTCAGTCCATGGCTCAGTGGTAGAGCTTCGACCCGTGCACCAAGTGGTCACTGGTTCAGTTTCCTAGGCAGGGGACATGCCCAAAGAGTCATGGGTTCAATTCCCGTCAAGGGCATGTACCTCAGTTGCAGTTCGTTCCTGGCCCTGGTTGGGGTCAAGCGGGAGGCAACCAGTCAGTGTCTCTCAAGTCAATGCTTTTCTCTCTCTCTCACTCTCTTCCCTCCTCCCCCACTCTATCTGAAGATAAATAGAAAAATATCCTTGGGTGAGGATTTAAAAAAAAAAAAGAAAGGACAAAGTATTCTAGTTGTGGGCTTGATGTAGCCCCCAGGAAGTAGATGGTCACTGAGAGAGAATAGGCGTCTTGCCTTGGTAACGCTGACATTGCCCCTGCCGCAAATGCCGGCCTTTAGAAGAATAGGATGGCCCTTCATGCTTTGCATATTCTAAGGAAAAGTTACCTATCGAAATGACTGATTTCAACGTAGGTTACTGCTCGGGTTAGGTTTTATTAACAGTCTGAGGGCGAAGTATTGGGATAAGATTATATGGTTCAGAGAGGTGTGAGCACTGTAGAACAGCAGGGTTATTAGGAGCACAGAATATCAGAGAAGGTTCAGTTCAGCCCTTGCTTACATACGTTATTATGACCTGAAATGAGGGATTTCTCACACAGCTGCACGGACTAGATCACGACTTGCCAAAGGGGAAGTGTGCCTTTGTGCTGATCTCTGCATCTACAGATCGTAGTGAGCAGGTGAAGCACTAGTTCTAGTGTGTTACCCTTACTCTTCCCTGTTACCTGAAGGGCCAGCTGTCAAGAACTTGATATTCTCTGTCTAAGCACTTAGTGCCCAGTATTTATTGTTATTCCTCAAGTACCTATTGTCTCCTAGATATGGTGTTTCTAGAATTCCAGTCAGATTGCCCTGATTTAACCGCATAGATGTGTAGAAATCAAGTGGAGCCTGGCTGGTGTGGCTTCGTGGATGGAGCGTCGTCACATGGACTGAGGGGTTGATTCCCAGTCAGAGCACATGCCCAGGTTACTGGCTCGATCCCCAGCAGGGGGCATGCAGGAGGCAACCAATCATGTTTCTCTCTCACATCAATGTTTCTATCTCTCTCTCCCTTCCTCTCTCTCTCTAAAAATAAAGATCAAGAAAGAAAGAAATCAAGTGGAAATTGTTTAGAGTACCTCATTCAGAATTCCTATTTCATAAATATGACTATTTGAGATAGGTTTGACTTTGAACTTATTTTTGTTTTATTGTAAATGTTGCTTTCCCTGCCACAAGTTTGTTTTAGAAATCCAAAATAGAGAGGCAGAAACTTGAAATTTGAAAAAAAAAACTAAAATTTTATTTAAAAAGTTGTAATTTCTTTAAGTTGAATAAAACAGTTTGATTAAAATGAACATTATTACATCAAAAACAATTCTTTTAAAAAAATATGTTTTGCCCTAGCCAGTTTGGCTCAGCAGTTAAGAGTGTTGGCCCATGGAACAGAAAGTCCTGGGTTCGGTTCCCGCTAGGGGCGTGTGCCTTGGTTGTAGTTTGTCCCCAGCCCCGGTTGGGGTTGTGTGGGTGGCAACCACTCGATGTATTTCTCTCACATTGATGTTTCTCTCTCTCCTCCCTCTCTCCCTCCTACTTTATCTGAAGATAAATGCAAAAATGTCCTCGCGTAAGGATAAAACAAAGATAATAAAATTTTAAAAAATAAAATGATTTTATTGATTTTAGAGAGAAGGGGAAGGAGAAGGAGAGAGAAAGAGGGAGAGAAACACCAATGTGAGAGAGAAACATTGATCGGCTGCCATCTGCAGGCCCACCACTGGCCATCAAATCTGCAACTAGGGCATGTGCCCTGACCAGTAGTTGAACAGATGACCTTTTTTTTTTTTTTTATCCTCACCCGAGGATGTTTTTCCATTTTTTGTTCAGGTAGAGTGGGAGGGAGAGAGAGGAACAGAGAGAGAGAGAGAGAAACATCGATGTGAAGGGACACATCGAGTGGCTGCCACCCACACGACTGACCAGAGCCGGGGACAAACTGCAACCAAGGTACATGCCCTTAGCGGGAACCGAACCCGGGTCTCTCAGGACCGCAGGCTGGCGCTCTAACCGCTGAGCCAAACTGGCCAGGGCGAACCGATGACCTTTTGATGCATGGGATGATGCTCAACCAACTGAGCCACAGTGGCCAGGGCAAAAACAATTCTTTAAAAAAAAAAATTTTTTTTTCCTTTATTGATTTTAGAGAGAGAGGACAGGAAAGGGAGAGAGAGAGAAACATCGATGAGAGAGAACATCAATTGGCCGCCTCTTGCATGCCCCACACTAGGGATTGGGCCCACAACCTGGGCATGTGTCCTAACTGGGAATCGAACCAGCGACCTCTTGGTGCATGGGTCAATGCTCAACCACTGATCCACACTGGCTGGACCAAAAGCAGTTCTTATTTAATCATTTCCCACATCTCAAATTAAGCCCAGTTTGTTTCTTCTGAGTGAAACTTATTTATTGAGATTTTTGTCTACACTGAGACTTAAAAGAATTTTGTTGATTCTTTTTCCTTCCTTCTCCTGTTTTTCCCCCCATGAAAATGGAAGTGTTGGGCTTTTATTTTTATTTATTTATTTATTATTAATCTTTACTGGAGGATATTTTTCCATTGATTTTTAGATAGACTGGAAGTGGGGGGAGGGAGAGAGAGAGGAAAAAAAACATTGATATTAGACACATCGATTGGTTGCCTCCCGCACAACCCCAGCTGGGGCACAGGTAGAACCTACAACCCAGGTAGGTACGTACACGCCCTTGACCAGCAATTGAACCCAAGGCCCTTTGGTCCTCAGGCCGACGCTCTTTAACTGCTGAGCCAAACCAGCCAGGGCAGTTTAAATGTTGAACCTTTTAAATGTTGAGCCAAGAAATTTTACCAAGACTTGACATCTGATTGGACAGAAAGATAAGACCTAAAAAATACTATGATATATTAATATGGGTAGTTTTAAAAAAAAACACTCTTGAGAAAACCTGCCCAGCAGGTTATGTAACACTTGGTCTTGTGGCAGCCAGTTCTTTGGAGGCAAGTCCTACTGATAACAAATGGTCTGTATCCTGGGATATCATCTGTGGCATTTTCTGTCTATCACTATGTATTTTGTGGATTGTTGCTTCATTTTGCACTTGTTCTTGCTTCTGTCTTGCAGTTACTTTGTTTAATATGAGGCATGTAAGATTAACTTTACCATGTTTAGAATATATAGGGTGTAAGAATTTGCAGGTAGAAGCAGGAATGATAGAAAAACCAGCACGTTAAGTCAGCTTTTATTTTCACTAGTATGATCCTCTTTCCAGTGTCTTTTTTCAGTTAGCCATGTGACAAACTTTATTAACAGCTGTAGAGTACTTGAAAAGGTAGACAAACAAGTATAAGAAATAAGTTAGGTCAAGTACGTGTTAGAAAGTTCACGGTCCTTTATGGATATTTAGAATTTATCATTTTGATATTGAGTTAAAGCTGCTCCCATGCCAATATGCTTGTCTTTACAGGACAGTCAAACTGTCTCTGAAGCCACAGCATGTTCCCTTGGCTGATAGCAATGTAGATCTGCCCCTGAGGCTGTCTGCATATTCAGTCTGGCATGTACAGTATTTGATTTTTAAAGAAAGAATGAAGTCTTCAGACATAATTAAATTATTCGTCGGGTAAATGATAGAGCAGTTAAAGAATGTTGAGGGAATGTTAACACGTTTGAGTAGGATAAATGTGTGAAGACCCTTTCTTCCCACAGACCATGAAGTGGCAGAAATTGATGAGGTTCACTATATATAGACCAAATGCAGTATAACTGACAGCTTTTCAAAGATAACCATTAAGTACAGCTTTAAATAGTTCTTTATTTTGTGATACAGTTTAACTAAAGCTGAAAAAGCACATCCAGGGTCTAGATTGAGTTCACCTGTGCATTTCCATCCAACCATTTTTAATTGCTTCTAATCATATTATATTTGCAAATATAAAATACATGCTATCTTCCACTTCCAGTCTACCATTGAAAATTGCCTCCTGGTTTGTGCAAGTTTAAATTGTAGTAGTTTATTCTCTTCAGTGTGAAGTTTACGTCAAATACCTCTGTATTTTGATAGGGCAGACTACTTTCCCATAAAACTAACTCTTCTTCCCTTGATTTTTCTCCTATGCCAGCTACAGGCCATACAGTTACCGGCACTTTGCACCCCCCACCACACCCTGCAGCACAGATGTTTGTGACAGTGACTATGCTCCCAGCCGGAGAATGACCTCAGTGGCAACAGCCAAGGGCTACACTAGTGACTTGAACTATGACTCAGAGCCTGTGCCCCCACCTCCCACACCCCGAAGCCAATACTTGTCAGCAGAAGAGAACTATGAAAGCTGCCCACCTTCTCCTTACACAGAGAGGAGCTACTCTCATCACCTCTACCCTCCACCACCCTCTCCCTGTACAGACTCCTCCTGAGGAGGGGCCCTCCTCCTCTGACTGCCTCCAACGCAAACGTGTACATACAGATTTGGTTGAGATCTGGAGGGGGGGAGGGAGATACTAGAGAAGGATGAGGCAGACCATGTACAGTTAAAAATTATAAATGGGGTAGGGAATACTGGAGATATTTGTACAGAAGAAAAGGATATTTATATATTTTCTTAAAACAGCAGATATGCTGCTTGTGCCATAAAAATTTGTATAAAAATAAATTTGTACTAAAAATTTTATTTTTGCAAACGAAATACACAAAGCATGCCTTAAACCCAGTGAAGTGACTGAGTACAGAGGAAATAGGAAAAATAAAGGCATCAGTGACCAGGAATGCCTGGGCTTTATTGATACCAAAAATAAAAGAAGAAGGAGAAGAAAAATTTAAGTCCATCTCAGAGCAGCAAACCATAGATGCTTGGAAGTAGCCAAATAACCTTCATGTTAACTAACATTTGAGGGCCAACAAATTTAAGAAATCATGAAAGAGAAAAAGGAATTAATACTAACTTTGGACATAGGGTTTTGGAAATCCAGCAATTTTAGTGAGGGAAATAGATATTTATAAAAACCCATTCTGGGTGTTGCTGTGTAGGAAAGATCAGCTGTCTGGTAAGAGCCCGCGGGGCCACGTGTGCGGGTCTCTGTCCCTACCTTCGAGTCCACACGCCTCCTTCAGAACTTTCTTCTCCAGGTGTTTTCACCTCGCTTGCTCCCCCGGCAGCTTTGTAGGCCGTTTTGCCAAGATACCATGATTTATTCAAAGCTTTTTATCTTAGGATTGATTAAATGGAATTTCTAAATTAAGATTTTATTTTAATATTTATACTAGCTCCATTCTCCTGTATGCGTAACTCTTCAATTTGACTGCTGTTTTTGCATAATGATCAAAGGTTAGACATATTATTGCTCCTCTTTACTTCTAAGATTGTTTTAATGCTCCTTAAACTGCCTTTTTACAACACATGTAGACAGTGTTTAAGAATTACAAATTTAACCATTATGTTTTTGTTGTAAATGGATCATATATCCTTGCAGTACTTTCAGCATGTAATATCACAGTATAAAATCATTTTTATATATATTTTTCCTACTAAAATATTTAAATATGTTCTGGTTAGAGACAATCTGTGTAAAAGGAGAATGTTTTGTCATCATTAGGTTTTCCCTTTGGTAACTGTTTGTGACATGTTCATGTTCTTTAGGCCAATTTTTCTCAGAATGATGTCTACATACATACCTCTTCTAACGTGTGACATAAGTTTAATATCTTTCTGTTACCTAATGTGAATGTTAGATTTTTTTTCAAATTATCCACAGATTATTCTTTTAATCACCTCTTATATATATATATTTATGTGTGTTCTCTCTCATCCCATTATGGATTAAGGTGATTTAACAAATTTAACAATACAGATTAAATGAGAAGGCAAACTTAACTTCTCAGCTGTCAGAACTCGGGTGGAGGGGAATAATGGAAGGCTCCTTTGTAATCTGCCTGCCCTGCATGGTACTGGGCTGCTGCCTTCAGCTATTAGGGCTGACCTGTGGAACATTCTAGCACTGCTCTGCCTCCTTGCCAGAGTTAGTTTCCTGCTTTTCACATGTTTCCAGCATTTCTCTGCTAAAATTGAATGTGTTTTTAAACTAATATATTTTTTACCTTAACAGATGTTGGTCAGTTACTTATTGAATGGTTTTTTAAAAATTCTGTCTTGCTGAGGCCTCTCTGGGTTTCAAGGCCCAAGAAGGAACAATGGAAGAAAGGATTCGGAATATTGGGAAGGGTGATATTTTAAGCAATTAAAAAATACCTATGTAAAAGTTTTAGAGAAAGAAATGTGGTTTCAGAATAATGCTTAGCTTGTTGGGGACACCAAGAATCCAGTGCACTTGGTTCTGCACATGAATAAATGGTGATCCAGCAGTGTCTTGCATTTCAGTCACACAAGCGGTAACTTCCTGTTGATGGAACGAAGTGCTCACTGCCTAACAGAATGGACACGAAGTTGCGTTCTGTGACACACACGGGCACCTGATGCTTAAATGAAGATGGAAAGGTTAGCAATAACTGGGTATCAATTAGAATTTGAGAATTCTATATGTTTACATTTTTTTAATGTGCATCTTTATCTGGTGGGCTTCCCATGTGGACACTTGCACTATAATGACCTAAGAAGAATATTGCCTTGTTGTATCTCAGTCCAAGTGCTTGCACTGCATTGGCAATGGCCTCTTCTTGCAAAATGCTGATTTGTGTGCCAATTTGAAATTATTTGAAGGCAGTTCAGCTTAATCTCAGAATCCTCTTTCTGGGGTGGTTGAGGTGGATTTTTAGTATTTTGGGGAGTACCTTTAAAATGAGAGCATTGTCAGAATTCAGGAAAGAGTCATTGGCCCTTGGGTTACATGGACAGTTAAGCTTAAGTAAACTATCATTTTTTTCAAAAAATATTTTTTCTTTATTGATTTTAGAGAGAGAAACATTTTAGATGAAAAGAACATTGATTGGCCGCCTCCTACATACCCCCACTTGGGAAATGGCCCACAACCTGGGCATGTGTCCTGACCTGGACTGGAACTGGTGACCTCTTGGTGCATGGGTGACGCTCAGCCACTGAGCCACACTGGCCAGGCTTAAGTAAACTATCTTGATTATTAAACACAAAAGTTTTAATTGGAAAAACTAAGGATTAAAAAAACATGAGCACAAATTAGGAGAAAAAAGTCAAAAAGGGTTTTAAACTTGCTGTATTGCTAGATTCATTATTGATGAGGGGGGAATGAATAAAATTTTATTGGAGTCCTTAAAAAAGTATTTATTTTGAACATGTCTTAAGGTATACCCACTTATTGGTATGATTAGAATTACCTGAGAAAGTACCTTTAGCCAAGCATACATTCAGTGCACTGTGTAGTAAGCTGTTCTGCACTGAACTTTTCTAACTTTGAACTTGGCTCCTGCAGAGCCCTAGTCTTCTGAACAGTGGCCCGAGGAGTTTTATTCTGAACCCTTAAAACATTTGAGAACAACTGTTCTAAATGGGTGATATGTATTTAGAAATCTAATATAGGAGGATAAATTAGAGGGTTTGAGCAGTAAGTAAAATGTTAAGATGTTTGAGGATTACATTTGTTCATTTTAAAATAGTAAATAATTTGTATAAGGCCAACTCATTCAATATTAGGATATAAAAATACCCTTCATTTGTATTAGGTAGCAATTCGTTTTGGGGTAAAATCATTTGGTTTTGCTGTAAAGGCCCATAGGTGAAAAATATTTCAGGCACAGTTAGTAGCTGCGGCTCATCTAGCCTGTTAATGAACTGTGTATTTATGCGACCTGATGCTAGGAATCCTGGTAGGCATTACTTCTGGTGCCAGAGGGGCTTTCTTTAAGCAAGTCAGCTTTTCTGCCATAGATGTACTACTGCTGTTTCCCTGTCTAGTCCTGTGCCTGAACCAGATGCTTAGAAATGCCGTTTTAAATCGTTTTATCTCTTCCAGGAGAAAATGTGCCACTCCATTAATTTACATGGCATAAGAGCTGCACATGGTTAACATTTCACATCTAACAATATTCAGAAACAGAAATCTTGAGCTTTTAAACCCCAAACCTGTCATACTTTATTAAGTTCCATAGTGGGGAGAGGAGAAATGAGCATGTGAATGTCAGTTCACTGGCAGATATTTGGACATCTACAAATGAGACTACACACTAGGTATAGACACGAACTGCGTCGTGAAGAAACTTATAATCCAGTGTTGTTTAAAACATGTTCTTGGAGTTTTTAAACTCAAGACATTTAATTTTATTTGGTATTGCTTTCCTTATCCAAAGCCTAAAATGAGCCAAGAGAAATAATAGATGATTTTAGAAAGCAATGGTAGCATGTGTGGTTTCTGACTTCTAGGATGGCATCATTTCATAATAGTCTCAAAATGTAGCTCTCGAAATTCTCAAAGTTTTAGAAGACTTTAGACCTAAAGCATATCATTTTACATTTGTAAATTTAGAATATTTTAAATTGAGTATTGTAACTCTATATAATCAGGATATTTGTCTTGATTCTGTGTATGATTAAACAAAACCTGTACCTGAGTAGGGGGGAGGTGTATGTTCAGGGTAATCTGGATGATCTGGAGTGAAATCTCTGCTGTCCCCACCCAGCTTCAGTGCAGACACACTGGGCTCCGCTCTTGTTCTCAAGGCGTCCTTAAACCATTGAGTTCACTGCTGGAAAAAGTATTCACGACTTTACAGATAGAAGGATGAACTAAGCAGTTTCTTGTACTCACACGAGAACTGTAGACCTAACAAAAACTTTTTTCTCCCCCATTACTTAGGATTTGCCTAAAAGTTAATACCAAAAAAGTATAGACAACTGCTTTTGCTTAACTGTTCGTTCTTTTTAAAATATAATCAGGGTAGGGATGCATATATATGTATGTGAATATATATGAACATTCCTTTAATATGGATATTAAAAGGAAAATAAAGAAAGTCTGATTAAATGTAATGTTACATGAAATTAAGTCTGGGGTTAGCGAGGAAAATTTAAAGGAGTAAAGAGGATACTGAGAAGCCTAAGCTGGAGTAGCCTTACTTGCAAGTGAAGGATCTGGTGCTGCTTTCAGATGTTTATCCTTTGTGTTTTTACATTTTTTCTTAAGCTTTAATCTTCGTTTTGTCTTAAAGTCAGCTGGTGTTTCTTGTTCATGGACTTTGGTACGATGGTGCTTTGCAAGGATGTATTTATATTTTAATGGCCAACATTTGGTCAGCCCTTGTCCACTATTCACTTCTCCCTTTTTGTGAAATAAGTGCTTTAATTGTAAACTGTATAAAAATACCTTGTATAAATCCCCTTTTGATTATTACAATAAGCTGAGTTGTAACAAATGAAATGTTGATTTTTATAATAAAACAGTGGAAAATAAAAGTGTCATTTCTTTTCAGCAAGAAATGAAAACCAGCTGCTTGTGCTTTGCTGAGATATACAACTGTTGTGTTTCAGACACAACAAAACCAACCTTTATTTTTATTCCAAATAAAATACAACCTGGGAAGAAAGGCTTTATTAGGCAGTGATTGAGCTCAAACATCAGGTGGTTAATGGAAACCAAGTTTTAATATAAAGGTCTTTCCTTAACAGATGCTTTTGAATCAGAGAGCTTACCTTGGCTTCTTTGCTGACCCTTCCCATTCTTTATTCTGGAAGGAAAACAAAAGTTACAAAAGTTGTGCCATTTACAGTTGAGTCAAAGTAAGGAAAGGCAAAACTATGGGTGGTTTGCCTGATTTAATTAAAATATTTTTTTCAATTATAGTTGACATTTAATATATTAGTTTCAGGTATACAGCATTAGTGGTTAGACATTTATGTAACTTATGAAGTATCCCCCCACCTCCCAAGTCTAGTACCCACCTGACAATATACATAGTAGTTTGCCTGATATAAAGGCAGGTATAAGAATGGGGAAAACAATGCAACTTGTTTTGGGTGAACTTGCACCCAGATAGTTTTCAGCTAAGTTTGTACAGTACAGTCTTTTTGGGGGGGGGGGGTAGAGAGAGAGAGGGAAACATTGATTGACTGCCTCCTGCACACCCCCTATGGGGGATGGAGCCCAAAACCTGGGCATGTGCCCTGACCAGGATTCCAACCAGCAACCTTTTGGTGCACAGGACAACGCCCAACCAACTGAGCTACACCAGCCAGGGCTACACAGTCTTTTTAAGTTTACTTCTTTGCCTTGTGTATGGTTGCATTTAAATTTAGTGATTTTTAAATTTACATCAAAGGATAGTTGATCTAATTGAGGTTTAACTCGTTAATGGAGTTCAGAGTACACTACCCCCAAATATGGCACCTTGGCATATTGAACATTTTAAGCTGAAGGAATTTGAGAAATGGCATGTGCATGAAGGAGTCTCTGACCTTCCCCCGAAGTAGACCATAAACTGTCATGTGAGAGGTATCCTCTCTGTACCAGAGGGAAGGAGTATCCTTAACACAAGAGGAAGGGACAGGAATCTGAACAAGTTTCCCCCAGGTTGCTACTGGTAACTCCTACTCTGTCCCATCATATCTTTCCGTGACTCCACTCCCATCAAACCTAGCATAAAAGCACTGGTTTAACCATGTCTTTGTCTTCATTTCCTTAGGAGGGCTCCTGTGTCATGTAAAACTTAAATACATTTGTATGTTTTCTCTTGTTACCGCTTTTGTTATAGGGGTCCCAGTTGAGAACTTAGAAGACATTTTTGTTTGCACCCACCCTGAAAATTTTCTACCTGAGATTTGCATTGTAAATTCAGACTTAATCAATATATAAAACCAATCCTCAGCCCTGGCTGATTTGGCTCAGCAGTTAGAGTGTCGGCCCGCGGTCTAGAGAGACCCAGGCTCGGTTCCCGCTAAGGGCACGTACCTCGGTTGCAGTTTGTCCCCAGCCCTGGTTGGGTCATGTGGGTGGTGACCACTCGATGTGTCCCTTTCACGTCGATGTTTCTCTCTCTCTCTTCCTCCCACTCTATCTGAACAAAATATCGAAAAATGTCCTCGGCTGAGGATAAAAAATAAATAAAACCAATCTTCTCCAATAAAGAGGCTAAAAATAAAGGATAGTTTTGCTGTCCGGCTTGCATTTACTGTGCACCAGGTACTGTGTGAACTATCTCATTTTTTTCCCTCAAAATAGTCAACTAATAATGACCAAGCTTGACGGGAAATGACAAATTTGAATATGAAAAACTACTTTGCAAAATTTTAATCAGAGACAGTTGGCAGTGGGTGAAGGTATGCTAGGCAAGTAGATATGAGCAGAGCAAGGACAATGGGACAGGAACAGAAGGTAAGGAAGGCAGAAAGCACCCTGGGGGTGGGGGGCTAGCAATGGGCAAAATGGGAAACAATGACTTTGTCCCCAGGGTAATCTTTCCTCCCCCAGCATATTGTAGGTCATGCATCCTAGACCCCCTCCCCCAGCTTTCATGGCCTGGACCCTCCCCTGACCTTTCCTCCCCTGGCATGTTGCTGGTCTTGTTGGTTAGACCCCATTAGTGTGAACAAAGGGGCCGGAGAACAACCCTTAAGCATTAAGCCTCCAGGGCAGTGAGGTTCTGACTCATAAAATACATCTAGGCCTCAGTTGTGTTTCAGCTGCAGGCCCCAAAAAGCAGCAAAACCAGACAAGATGCCTGGCTGACCTCAAGACCAGCTGCATTGATTAATGACCCCATGACCCGTCAGTGGAGACCACCACCCTGAAAGGACACACCTGGAAAACTGATGAGTATTTTATTGAGCTCTTCCCCTGGGACTGCCCCTAAAATCTCCACCCAACACAACTCCCTCCCTCCCAGTCGGTCCTCCTCCCAGTCCCCCCAGGTACCTTACTTTTACCTTCACCTTTTTCTCTCCTAAGCTCCAACGGCCTTTCTTTTGCCTCTGTAACT